CCCGATGCGGGACTCGATCCTGGGACTCCAGGATCCTGACCTGAGCCGAAGGCAGTCGCTTAACCAACTGAGCCACCCAGGCGCCCTAAGATTTTATTTATCTGTCAGAGAGAGAGCGCATAAGCTGGGGGAGCCGCAGGGCAGAGGGAGAAGCAGGCTCTCCGCGGAGCAAGGAGCCCGATGTGGGGCTCAATCCCAGGACCCTGGGATCATGACCTAAGCAGAAGGCAGATGCTTAATGACTGAGCCACCCAGGCATCCCAGCTTTTTTTGTTTTTTAAGTTGGTGGTAGGAGAGGGGAGAAATATGTGACAGCTATTTGCTTCAGATAGCCATTATTGATGCCCATAGCTACAGGGGACAAATTAGAAGGGAGAAAAAAATTATTACTATGATTTTATATAGTCTCTCTTTTTTTTTTTTTTTTTAATTTATTTTGAGAGAGAGAGACAGAGAGTGACAGAGATAGCGGGAGAGAGCACAAGTGGGGAGGAGAGAAAGAAGCAGGCTCCTGCTGAGCAGGGAGCCCGACGTGGGGCTCGATCGCAGGACCCCGGGATCATGACCCGAGCCGAAGGCAGATGCCCAACCAACCGAGCCACCCAGGTGCCCCTACATAGTCTCTTTAATGGATTTAGAATTTCTATATATTTTAGCTTAAAGCATGAGAAGTAAGAGGTTGGTAAGCATTTTTAAAATACCCAAGAATCTGGGGGTGCTCGGGTGGCTTAGTTAAGTGTCTGCCTTCAGCTTGGATCATGATCCCGGGGTCCTGGGGTTGAGCCCCCCATCTGGCTTCCTGCTCTGTGGGGAGCCTGCTTCTCCCTCTGCCTGCCACTCCCCCTGCTTGTGCTCGCTCTCTCTCTCTCTGTCAAATAAGTAAAATATTTTATTTATTTTTTAAAGATTTTATTTAGTACATATAGATAAAATGTCATGAAACCATTTTAGCTTCTCCTCCATCTCTCATCATTAACAAATTAACATAGTCTTCACAGTATAAAACCATTTTTATTGTGAAATTGTACTTGGCTCTTTTTTGCCTACTCTTTAAGTGCCATAAATCTACTTGCTACACTCCTTCCAGTTTCCTACCTTTCTGAAAAGAAAAATAACAAAGAAGGCAAAGCATATGCCATACTTAAATGTCAAAGAAATTTACCCAGATTTTGCAAATAACTACTTTCTGTGGCACAAACAGCCACTTATGACATATGCCAGATGAATTATAGAAAAGAATTGGAATTTCTTATATTTTATCACTTTGTACCTCTTTATCTAAAGAAAGGATGACAGGTACTTTATCTCTGCCTTCTCCAGTCATCCAAGATGATAATTCATTTTTTTTTTTGAAGATTTTATTTATTTATTTGACACAGAGAGAGAGACACTAGAGAGCTAGAGAGGGAACACAAACAGGGCGAGTGGGAGAGGGAGAAGCAGGCTCCTGGCTGAGCAGGGAGCCCGATGGGGGGCTCAATCTCAGGATCCTGGGATCATGACCTGAGCCAAAGGCCGACTTTTAACGACTGAGTCACCTAGGTGCCCGAGAATTCATTTTGCAATGAAATTTCACCCAGGAGTACAAATATAATAAATATTACAGATTTTATGTTGTAAATATAAAATATATTAGCATATGTAATTACATTTTTAATATAAATTATAAAATAGGGTAATAAAATCAGACTAAAATATATAATTAAAATATAAGGATTTGACAAAAAATAGTGGGTATGTGCATGGGGTTAGTCTACTTATTTTGAGTCTTATATACTTTTTCAAAAAGCACAAACTAGACTCATGAGACTTTAAGACCCACTAACAACACCAAGAACTGAATACATAGGCAGTGATTTCTCAAAGAAAAACTATGTGTGTGTTGAAGAGGTGAGTTTAAATATGATGAAGACATGGGATACTAAGAGAGGGAGACAAGGTATCAAGAAAAAAAAAAACAAAAAACACTTCTTTAGTAACTCCAGAAACTACATGGCAGGGTGCCTTAGAGTCCTGGTTAATGAAACTTTTGGCTTATTACATTATTTGAGAATATGTAGGTAGAGCAAAATAAACTATTAATAGTAATTTTATCTTACAAATATGGAAAGTCCAATTTTAAAATTTAAGTACATTTTCTGCTCAAGTCTAATAAAATTGAATCTATCTTTGAATTTAAGAAGTATGACATAGGTAATCAAGAAAAGTCTTAATGTTGGGGCGCCTGGGTGGCTCAATTGGTGGAGCATGTGACTTGATTTTGGGGTCATCGGTTTGAGCCCCACATTGGGGGTGGAGTTTACTAAGAAAAATAAAGTCTTAACGTTAATTTGAAAAACCCACTTGTACAAGTCCATATTTAAGAATGCTTGAGAAGGGATTCCTGACTCAGGAGGATAACTGCCAGATTCTAGATGATCTTATGATGAATTAAAAATGGGTATACTTCGTATACTGGATGTTAGAATCAAAGACCAATAAAACTTGGGGGAGAATCTGGTTATCTTTGAGGATACTCTTGACAGGCAAGGTTAACATCTATCAACTTAGAAAATAAGAATTTATTGGTAGGGGACTGGGATGTTGAAAATAAAGGGGACAAAAGGAAGTTCCTCTGGGAAGGAGTAAAAGGAATTTCCTTTTCATAATCAAAAGAAATAGTTGGGAAGCAGCTTTTCAGTGGTAGCTTCTGAGAGCCAACACTATAACAGAACTGAATGTCTCAGTTCTCTGTGAATATACTGACACCATGGCCACTCAGACAAATTCACTTTTTCCTTTGTTTATGGAAACCCAATGAAAATAAAATTATGTCTTCTGTTAAAGTTTTGACAATGGCTTAAAATGAGCAAAGAAGAAAGCATACAACAACAAAACAAAAGCCACTCCATAATATAATTTATTATCTTATCATAAGCTAATAAAAATCTGAGGTTTTAGTAGCAAGTAAAAGAAATTTAGAGTTAAGAAATTTAGAATTTATCTTTCCTATACTCTCAGTGTCTGGCTTCTCACTGTATCTCCTAGAACTTTTTATTGATTTGTCAAGGAATTGTTAGCATTCTTTGGAAGGGAAATACTTTTTTTTTTAAGTTTATTTATTTATTTAAAGTAATCTCTACACCCAGTGTGGGGCTTGAACTCATGACCCTGAGATCAGGTGTTGCATGCTCTTCCAACAGAACCAGCAGGTACCCCTGAAAAGAAATAATTTTGTAATTATTTTATTATGGCTTAAAATTTTTCTTAGTACAATACATCATTTAGTAAAACCTTCACTTACATAGCAAATCAGTGTAATATACAATTGTGCAAAAGAAATCATTCTAAACAAAACAATAAAATTATTAAAATGTAAAATAGATTTATTTTTAATAAATTATTCAGAATTTATTTTTCAAGAAATTTGGTATATTAATAAAATGTATTAATTCTCCCGTGACAGAGAATATAGAAAAGGAAAGTGAAATGATGAAGAACAGGGACTTAGCCAGTCCAGTTCCTCCTATAAGCCAAGGTACAACAGAATTCCCTTAGACTGCATAAGGAACAAACTACTTCCAGACTCTTTCACTGATGTTAAAAATCATGTTAAAACAATAAACAATATGAATGTTTACTTTCTAACTTCTCCCATTTTCCCACTGCTTATGTTTCCTTTTCCTGAGATCTCAAACATTGCATTATTTAAATTGCCTAGCTTCTTTCCCGTTTCTCTTACATACATTAGCCTGCCCCTCGAGCTGCCCTAATGGTGTTTCTTATGAATAATGTCCAAGTTGAGACCCCTTCCATTGAATGAGGGCCTTTCTTTCCTAGATGTGGTCAAAATAGAGAGTAAACAATTATATCGACCAGAATTCCTGTCCCTTCTAAACCAGCCATGTGAAAGCTAGTGCACTGCACTGTATTACTGTGTCAGTTATATTTTTGCCATATATTTATATTGCAAAATATAGTCATGATTATTTGATTACTACTGATAGGTTTTACTTTGGCTGGGGCAGAGACCGAGAATGGAGAAATGTTTCTGTATCTCAGTTTAAATTGCTAATTTAATTAATAATTGCTACTTGTAAGCTTACAGCAGGTCATAAGAATTTGGTCCATTATTCAAATTCCAGAATTACAAAGGTAGGCTTTATTTTAATTTTTTCTTAATATATTCCCTAGATACTGATTTTGATGTCAAAATACAAAAACTAATATAAGGTTTAATCTCCACTTAAATGGACATAATAGGCCAATTTGGAGAAACATAAAAATATTTCAAAAATTATAAATTTGAAAATTTACCATAAGTCACAGCTAAATTACTTTTCAGTTGTATATTTAAAAGCAGAAAGCAGAAATTCAATGTAATGTAATGATATGAAATTCTCATTCAATAGATTGAGGACATAATACGGGAACTGAATCAGCATCAGAGGTAAATGGACATTTCCTTTAATGAAACATCACCTAAAATTATCTGGTTCACAAATAATCTTTTAATTAAAAAATGAAAAGCATTTTTATTTTTATTATAATTATAGCAACAACAACAAAAAGGACAAGTATTTTGCAAAGCAAGATCATACTTTTGCACTTTCAAACACTAGCTTAGTGTCTTAAAAGTATGAAAAAAAAAGTATGTTTTTGCTTTCATGGTTAAAGACACAAGTGTCAGATTGAGATACTCTGCCAAGACTATGTATTTCTTGAACTGTTACTAATGGTCGAGATTGTTGAAAGCTAACATTTTTTGAAAGCAGGGTTTTTCCCATCATTTGTCTTCCTCTTTCCTCGGAGTTCTTGATAGTTTGTTTTATCACATACTAGTAGAAAGTACAGTATCTAGTACCATGAAGGAATGTTCAACAACCACAAAAACTTTAGCTAATTCCTTTTTACCTAACAGAGAAGGTTAAGCATCAATTTGATGGTGTGCCTAAAACTACAGCCACATAAATTGGAAGCAGTTTTATTTTAGGGACATGCGTTACATATTATAACTTACTTTATTTTTGAAAAAAGTTCAGAGGTAACAATAGATTAATAGAATTAATTAAAATGAATTTGAAAAACAACAAATTTAAGAATATTTTACTAGGACCAAATGCCAATGAGTATTGTTCTATAAGTGTTTTATAAATAACTTGGAAATACTGTTTGTCTTTCCTCACTAAATAATAGTTTTGTTAAGTAGTTAACAACTTGCACGGAGCAAAAAGTCCTGTGGAGACTTTTCGTGTGTGTTTAAACGGAATCTACCCACCATCAAATTGATTTAGAGTACACTCACATGCCCACCGCCTTCTGTGGAACTAGTAGTGCACGGACAGCTAAATTCAGATGATGTCATGCGGTTTTATCCAAACAGCTGTATTAACACCACCTTCTAGGAAAGAAGATGCTCCTTGAGCCTTGTCAACAATGGATTTCAGTTAAATTAACTCAATGTACAATGAATTCAGAGAAACAACTATTGAATAGAAATCTGTAAAAAATATATATAAATTTTTGTTCTTCGTAACATTGATGGCAATGTAATGAAACTCACCAATAATGGAGGCAAAATCCCATGAAACCTAAATTTTGGTTAGCAAGAAATATGCTAATTTTCTATTTTATAAATTAGGAAGGAGACGAATCACTGCTTGTAACAGTGGTACCTGTCAAATCACAAAAAACTTCTGGAAAGATGAAGAATTTTGAGGATCTAGAGAAAGAACGAGAAGAAAAAGAAAGGGTCAAATATGAAGAAGATAAAAGAATAAGATATGAAGAACAACGGCGATCTCTCAAGGAAGCAAAGTGTCTTTCATTGGTCGTGGTAATTTTTATTTTTATTTTTTTTAGGTACAAATCAAAGCAGTTAAGTTACCAGCATTTCCTTTTATGATTAACAGATGTGTTTGCACAATGTTTCTTAGGATGATGAACTAGAAAGCGAGGCAAAAAAAGAATCCCTTTCTCCTGGAAAACTGAAACTAACTTTTGAAGAATTGGAAAGACAAAGACAAGAAAACCGAAGGAGGCAAGCTGAAGAGGAAGCAAGACAACGTTTAGAAGAAGAGAAGCGTGCTTTTGAAGAAGCAAGGCGGCAAATGGTAAAACAAATATATATATAAAACGTATTTTAAAATATATATATATATTTAAAGATTTTATTTTTAAGTAATCTCTACACTCAACATGGGGCTCGGACCAGGAGTTGTACGCTCTACCAAGTGAGCCAGCAGATGCCCCTATAATATATGTATTTATATATAATGATATTATATATAATATATAATGATATATAACCTACAAATTATATTTTATATATGTCCTATGAATGTTATATATAAAAAACTTAGTATTAGGGAAGGAAGCTGGCTTTAAATAAAACTCATTCCTATAAATTCAAGGAGATTGTCTATATAAAAGGGTCTGATTTTGAAACTATACATATTTCCTATATAAAATGCATCTGTATTATTTTCTAGTTTCTCTTTATGATGGGACATTTTACCTAATATGCTTTAATTTTTATTTTTATGTTATAAATTATAAATATGTAAAATAGGAGTCAATGAACCTGGTTTCTCTTTGTTAGTTCAGCCTGCAGTGTATTTAATGACAGGGTACAGCACATGCACACTTTCGAGTCTAATCATAAGTGTACACTTAGTTTTAGTCCAGTTTTTCAAATATTTGAACTTATCAAAATAAGTTTACTATGGAATATGCAGTTTGTTATATAAGGTATGTAGATGTGTGTATGTGTGTGTGTGTGTAGAGGTATGGAGTGTAGTGGTTAAGAGCATAGTTTCTGGAACCACACTGCCTGGATTCACATATCTATTGTTTATTTAGTGTGTAACCAGGGACAAGTTATTTAACCCCTCTATGTCTTAGTTTTCTTATTTGTAAAATGGTGAAAATAATTGTGTCTACTTCTTAAATTGTACGTGAGTTAATACAGAAAGCAGTTAATGTCTGGCATATAATAAGCGCTGTAAAATGTTAACTATTATTAATAACTATATCAATAAAAAATAAAATTGAAATAAGAAAATACTGATTCCAAATCTCATTGTAAAAATTTTTTGAATTTTAATGGAATATCTATAATTTTTTAAAAGTTTCAGAATTTCTTGATCAACTTTCATTAATGTTCTAAGGACTGTATCTACAAAAGTTAAATTCTCTAGACATTTGAAAATGTTATTACTTCTGGGTAATTATAATTGCATAATATGTACACACTTTAGCTACCAGTGGTGATCAATTTCATGAAAATAGAAATAATCAAATCATAAATTTCAATAAATATTTAATTATAATTTTAATTATAAAATCATAAAATTTGAATTTTATAAAAAATAGTTCCAGGTAATCTTTTATCTGATTAGTATAAGGAAAAGTACCATAGTTCATAGTAAAATATCCATGAAAATTACAAAATGAGAATTTTATTTTACTACAATAGAGACTCTCTATAGATATACTTGAAGCATAGTAAGTACACACACACGCATTTTATGTTTTGTTCTGGGAGAGTTAATATTTATTAGAACTCTTAAATGACCCCTTAAATTCTTTCAAACACTCAATTTATCTATTTAAAAATTTGACTTTCATGGGAACTGTTATTTAACTTGAGTACATCTTTATTTGGAATTTCTCCAAATTTAAATACTTTATCAGCTAAGAAATTATAAAGGAAAGGAAATTTGGTCAAATATATTAAGGGCAAGAAAATATTTGTGTGTGAGGTGGCCAGTTCTGTGCCTTTTGATTGATAATTCATTCCTGCCCTTGATGAATCTCGGTTCTTAGTAATGAGTTGTTTCTTGGTTAGGTAAATGAAGAGGAGGAAAACCAAGACACAGAAAAAATTTTAAAAGGGTACCGCCCTGGTAAACTCAAACTCAGTTTTGAAGAAATAGAAAGACAAAGGAGAGAAGATGAAAAAAGGAAAGCAGAAGAAGAAGCCAGGAGGAGAATAGAGGAAGAAAAGAAGGCATTTGCTGAAGCAAGGAGAAGCATGGTAAGATAGAATGTAACTGGAGAATGCCATTAGGATTCAGCTTTTTTAAGAGTATGTTAAGAGGGGGTGCCTGACTGGCTCAGTCAGTATTGGATGCAAGTCTTGGGGTTGTGAGTTTGAGCCCCATGTTGGGTATAGTGATTACTTTAAAATTTTTTTAAATTTGGGGTGCCTGAGTGGTGCAGTCAGTTAAGCATTCAACTCTTGGTTTTGGCTCAGGTTGTGATCTCGGGGTCTTGAAATCGAGCCTGTGTCAGGCTCCACGCTCAGCACAGAGTGCTTGAGACTCTCTCCCTCTGCTCCTTCCCCCTGTACTCAGGTACACACTCACTGTCTCTCAAATAGACCTTAAACTTTTTTTTAATTTAAAAAAAAAATAGAGTATGTTAAGAAAAATAATTAAACTTTAGATATTATTTCTGGAATCTTTCAAAAGTAGGGATAGCAAAGAAGCTTTAAAGTCTCCTATGGCATTAACACCTATCAGTTAAAGGTGTTTGCTTCAGTGTAATGTTGAGAAGGTTCTGATTAAGTTGCTATGCCTGGCTTAAAGGATTATTATCTTCCTTCTCTGGGAAGGTATGTTTTCCAGAAGTATCTAAGCAGAGAGTTTCCTACTCTACCTTTCCTTCCATTCTCTCCATTCTTCTTTCCCGTCCCACATTTCCTCCTTCACTTCTTCCCTCCCTCCTTTCTTTCCTTCTTTCATTTCACCTTCCATCCCATCCAGTACATATTAAATGACCAAAGCCATTTAATCACAATTATTTAATTCTCCAAAATGCTCACCTATCACTTCTGGATATTGCTACCAAACTTAATTCCTTCACAAAGTTACACCCCCTATACCACTTTTTAATGTTTGTAAAATATACAGTTATCTCACAAACTATTTTCAAGCAAGCTGACCTATAAATGCTGCATCTCCTTCTTGAAACATAAAAAGTAGGCTCCACGCCCAACATGAGGCTTGAACTCACAACCCGAAGATCAAGAGTTGCAGGCTCTACTGATTGAGGCAGCCAGGTGCTCCCCCTCTTCTTGAAACATTTTAATTGGCTTCAGTGATATCATGACCAGGTTTTCTTCCTATGTCTGGGGGAGCTTCAAGCACATATATCCACATGTTTATTTGGCTTCATTACCCATCCAGATGCTCAAATCAGAAAGTTGGGAGTCTTAAAGACTTCCACCTTCTCATTCATACCTCACATCCAGTCATTCACTAAGTTTCATTCATTCTACCTTCTAAATCACTCTAAAAATCGATCAGTTTTTCCCTCATTTCCACTGCTATTGTTATCCCTTCCTTGGGTCACCTATCTCCTCCCAGGTCACAGTTATCTCTAGCCTCAAACCAACTCCTATTTAATTTGCTTTCTTGTCTATAATCCATTCTTCTTTGTAAAGACAAGAGTGATCTTTCTCGCTCTCTTCTCCTTCTCTTTCTTTCTTTCAGGTAAATTTGTGTTACTATTTTGCTTAAGAATTTTCCACTTCCCTTAAGCAAAAATCTAAAAATTTTTTAAATCTAAAAAATTTTTTAAACTATTTCTTTATAATATTGTCCTAGTATATTTTTCCAGTTTCATTTCTTCATTCTTCTTAATCTGACATCTTTGTTCTGGACATACTAAATTTCTCCCAATTTCTTCAAAATACTGTGCTCTCATCCATCTCTGGACCTTCATAAATGCTGAATGAAACATGCCCCTCTTTCCTTTCCCCATGCTCTGCTGTCTCCTATTCATATTTTCCATTTCCTCTGGGAAGCCTTTCCTGAGAACACAAGTTCCAAAGACGTGTTCTTTCTGTGTATTCTTGTGGATTTTGTACTCCCCTGGCATAGCACTAATGTATTGTTGTTGCTTACAGCTGTCATTCTCACTCATGAGGCTTAGACTGTTCATCAGGCACATGGCACAAAGCATTCTAGCATAACAAATTTCCTATAAATGTTTGTGGAGTATATTAAAACTATCTTTTTAAAAAATAATTAACTTATTTACTTGCTCAGTAAACGCTACCCCTGACATGGGGCTTGAACTGACAACCCCATGATCAAGAGTTGCATCTCTACTGACTGAGCCAGCCAGGTGCTCCTTAAAACTATCTTGTGTGTAAAACTAGGTAATCCTTGATTCACAAATGATTTCTATGCAGAAACCCCATAAACATTGTGAAGGCACTTAATTTTTGGAGAATAAGCAGGTTCAGAGTGATAGACAAGTAGTAGCTGTGAAGATCAGGAGATCTAATGCCAGGGGCAGATTTTTAGGCTGAAACTGCCATGATTCACTAATAGAAAAAGTGTAGGAAGGAAAACTGCATTAAACCAAAACTCCAGTTTCCTAGAGGTATTTCTGTATCAGGAAAGATAAAATTTTTCCTTCATTTATGTTGGGTTTTTTTTTTTTATCCAGGGCCATATTTTAATTTTGTATTATAGCTCAGTTAGCTCATATATTAATAAAAATTTCTGGTAATCTTTGGATTGTAAAACCATGTAAACATTGTTTCTGAGTTGAGTTTATTCTTTGGTAAAGCCTGTCATATGTAAAACAAATAATTACCCTTTGCCTTATTACCCTATGTCTTCTTTAGCCACAGGGTCGTAATTCAGGCCAGAGGTTTATTTTCTACTTTCAGGGGATAGAAAAACAGAATTAGGTAATTGCTTTTCATGGTAAAATGTATTCCAAGTCAGTGATTTAAAAGCAAAGTTTCTATTTGCAATTTAGGGATTGCCTTTATTACAGGGAATGATAATATAATAATAATAACTGCCATTGGGGGACTCCTGGGTGGCTCAGTTGGTTGGTTAAGCTACTACTGCCTTCGGCTCAGCTCGGGTCATGATCTCAGGGTACTGGGATCAAGTCCCACATGGGGCTCCCTGTTCAGCGGGGAGCCTGTTTCTCCCTCTGCCCCTCCTCCCTGCTCATGCTTGCTCTCTCTCTCACAAATAAATAAAATCTTAAAAAAAAAAAACTGCCATTGGGAGCTTACTATTGGGTATCATACACACTATAAGTGTTTCCAAACTTTGTCATGACAACTATATGAAAAGTTGTTACAGATAGGGAAACTCACAGAGGCTGGGTAACTTGCCCAAGGTCACAACTTAATGGCAGTTAGACGTGTAATTCATGAAATTACAAAAAGATAGTCTAAATCATTATTTATAATTTTTATTAGGTTTTTGAAGGTTTGAATCCCACCTTTGCCACTTAATATTTGTGTTCACTCTGGAATAGTACCTGAGTTTCTCATCTATAATGGAGGATATTAATAATATCTACTTCATAGGATTACAGGATTAAATAAATCAATGTAAAGTGCTTAGAATTTACATGGCAGCTCTAAGTATTATTATTTAATTAACCAGACAGTAAATAAATTAGTACAAAAAAATTACAGCATTAAGAATGATTTTTATCTGATTATGAAAGAATCATGGGTTATCTAATTCATTCAGACAAAACCATGATTTAATGGAAATGCTCTATTTTAATTAGCAGAATGGAAATTCATTTTAATTCAAAGTGTTCTCAGTATCAGAAAATCTTAATATCTAATTCAAATTACTCATAATACAAATTCAAAGGATTTCTTTGTGTTCATTGGAGCAGAAAACAGATGGTCACCATTTCCTCTGTAACCACAAAATACCTTAGTCTTATATTTTCTAGTAATTTCTCCCTTGTTTATTGTTTTATACTTTTGAAGAGATTTAGGTCTCCAAATTTTTAGTTCAGTGTGAAACCTTTCTATTCAAGTGATCAGAGTTTCTACAAAAAAAATTTTTTTTAAAAGTTTGTGTAATTTTGGCAAAAATAATGAAAGAATCATTTTGAGTAGGTAGTAGATGATGACTTCCCAGAGATGTATAAAACAATTTCTCAAGAATCTCTTACACCGGGAAAACTGGAAATTAATTTTGAAGAATTACTAAAACAAAAAATGGAAGAAGAAAAACGACGAACAGAGGAGGAAAGGAAGCATAAGCTAGAGATGGAAAAACAGGAATTTGAACAACTGAGACAAGAAATGGGAGAGGTGAGATTTTAAGAAATACCATTTATATTCTCCAAATATTTATTAATATAAGTATTTTACATGTAGTATCTTAAATAACTTTTTAAGTATTATTATTCACATAAAGGACACCCAGCATACCATGAGGCACTTGGTACAAGTTTTGGCATAGTTATGAGCACTTTCTAGCCTGCTATAACTCTGCTTCTTTCTTACTAGGTTAAAACATATGATTGCAAGTGACTAACATACTACTATAGTACCTTAAGTAAATATTTCTTCCTATATACCTCACAATTATGTGGTTATATTATGATGGAGAATTGTTTCCTAAAGTGCTTACTATGCCCATTTTTTATATTTATTTTCCTTGAAATAAACTGATTAGTCAAAATAAAATTACAAGAGTACCATGGATACCAATAGAACAATATCAGTTTGGCAAGTCTTTGAATCATTTTATTTTACTAAATTAGAAGACAGAACTCTCATGATAAATATTTCAGTATGATTTCTCTAGTATTGAAGTGAATTAAATAAATACATAAATATATATCTACATAAATATAGACTGTACAGGGTCAGCTTCATGGGCATGCAACCTGGGCCCTCACAGGACCCTGTGCTCAGATAGGTTGTGCATAAGGTTTAATGTTCTAAGGTTGCCATCTTGATTTTTAATTTAAAAATTTAATTAAAGTAAAATTTAAAACTTAAAATTTAATTAACACCGTAATCTTATCTTTGAATTTGTGTGTTTTAAGTGAAGGCTGCTTGGACAATGGAGCATGTGCTAGACTTTGAGCCGTGGCTCAAATCTCCTGTCCCCTGCCTCTCTATGGTGCATTCTCAGCTCTTTTCCTATCTCCTGATGCCCCAAGGCCCTTTCTAAAGGGTTCTTTCCCACAGCTGCCACCCTCCATCTGGATGGCCAGTTGTGTAAGCAGAAGAGGGGAGATAGAAAAAGGGGGCCAGCATTCCACTGTCACCCTCGACCTCTGATGGGGGGTAGTAGCTCTTGGCAGCAACATGAACAGGGTCAGGGATCAGCACACAGCCCGGTGACTTGGGGTGAAACGAGCAGTTGTTGTCCCAGATTCTAACTGGCAGTGATGTGGCATGTTTGGCAGGCAACTTGGTGGGGACTTTTTGCCAACTCCTGATCTAGGAACCGAATGGGATCCTATGCAGAGGTTGCAATCTCTAGAAGTTGCCTCTTTTGTCATGGGCTGGGGCAATGGACCTGTGGGGATATTTACTTCCTTGCCCCAGACAATTGAGAGACTATAAATACTATATAAATATATAGGTAGTAATATCATGAATATGCTGTAGGAAAATATTCCAAGGTCTAGCCTTATTTTAAAAATGTAATAGCATTTATTTTATAAAGGATGATGAAAATGAATTGCCTAGGAAAACTTGTAAATTAGTTCAATCATTAATTTTGACCAGAATGATTTGGGAACCAATGATAGAAGGTACATAACAAACTTGTTAGGTTTCTGTTATTTTAGGAGTTGTCTGTTTTCACCCACATAGACTAAAAAGTGAAGGTAGTATAAATAAGTTCTCTTTTTTCCCCTTTGGTTGAACCAAGAAATTAACCCTCATGTTGTATCGTCCACTGTGACCCCACCCCTCCGCACTTTCATTCCCCTTCCCTACTAACCCCTCCCCACACCTAGAATCTAGGTCTTCTCCAGGAAAAGTATACCAGGAATAACTGCATTTTTTTTTTTAACATTTCATATAGTGAGATTAGGGTTTAGTGTAAGAAGTATACAAAGAACTAGTAATAAACTGTGAAAAGCCAAGGGAAACCAGAATAAAAAGTATTTAAGATAAAACGGTTTAAAGAATTGGAGCCCAATTTTGGTAGACTCTTCTCTTTCTTGGCAGGATATAAAATTGAGACTAGAAGTGATACATATCAAATGTAGGGATTTTGCCAGGCTGTATTGTAGAAAGAGTTCATTCAGTTAACTTGAGTATTGAGTGATAATCAGGGGCACCTGGGTGGCTCAGTCGTTGGGCGTCTGCCTTCGGCTCAGGTCATGATCCCGGGATCCTGGGATGGAGCCCCACATAGGGCTCGCTGCTCGGCGGGAAGCCCTCTCCCACTCCCCCTGCTTGTATTCCCTCTCTTGCTGTGTCTCTGTCAAATAAATAAAATCTTGAAAAAAAAAAAGTGGTATTTATTAGACTATCATCAAAACAAAGACAGGAGGAACTTTAGGATACTCTGGCTCTGTATAGAGATAAAAAAATCATGTCCAGGGGGCTAAGTGACAAGGCAAAAGGCCACACGGTATCAAAGTCAGAACTAGAACTTGTATCTGACTCCCAGCCCACTGTTCTTACAATTATAGTTCATCTTCCCCTAAACATGGATTTTCCTATGGTTCCTAGTATGTATAAAGATTTTATTTATTTGACAGAGAGAGACACAGCAAGAGGAACACAAGCAGGGGGAGCGGGAAAAGAAGCAGCCTTCTGCTGAGCAGGGAGCCTGATGCGGGGCTCAGTCCCAGGACCCTGGGATCATGACCTGAGCCGAAGGCAGACGCTTAACGACTGAGCCACCCAGGCGCCCCATAATCTTGATATGCATATTTTAGTTTTAGGAGGTTATAATGAAATATTAAATGAAGTTTTGAGCCATATCCCATAATGAAATATTTTAAATAAGATGTTATCTAAAGTCTTAAATTTGTAGCATTACTTTTAATCAGTAAATTTAGTAATTGTATTTAGGGAAGAGGTTATTTAAGCTTTATTTTTGGCTTCAAGTAAGAAATGAACACCTTTTGGATGGTTTATTGTACAAACTAATTTTCTAGTATTTAATATATAAAAAAAATTTTTTTTTGAAGGAAGAGGAAGAACATGAAACCTTCGAATTGAGTAGGGAATATGAAGAATTAATCAAATTGAAAAGAAGTGGCTCTATTCAAGCCAAAAATCTAAAAAGCAAGTTTGAAAAGATTGGACAATTGTCTGAAAAAGAAATACAGAAAAAAATAGAAGAAGAACGAGCAAGGAGGAGAGCAATTGACCTTGAAATTAAAGAGCGAGAAGCAGAAAACTTTCATGAGGTATACTGTGTTTAATAGTTACAGTATAGTAATTATGATGAACTTAGAAATGTAACATTGACTTTGAAATATGGTACTTAATCATAGGTATATATAACAACCCGGGAACTAAATAGCAAAAGCACATTAAGATCTTTTTTTTTTTTTTAAAGATTTTTATTTATTTATTTGACAGAGAGAGATAGCGAGAGGAGGAACACAAGCAGGGGGAGTGGGAGAGGGAGAAGCAGGCTTCCTGCCGAGCAAGAAGCCCGATGTGGGACTCGATCCCAGGACCCTGGGATCATGACCTGAGCCGAAGGCAGACGCTTAACGACTGAGCCACCCAGGCGCCCAGCACATTAAGATCTTAAGAGACTTTGAAAGGTTGCCTCAGTCTAGCATTGTTTCAGAAATGGCTTTTATTAGAATTAAATAGCCTATCGTGAACATCACTCTGGAAAAAATAGTTTAAAAATATTTATGGCACAGGACGCCTGGGTGGCTCAGTTGGTTAAGCACCTGCCTTAAGCTCAGGTCATGATCCCAGGGTCCTGGGATTGAGTCCCACATCAGGCTTCCTGCTCAAGTGGGGAGCCTGTTTCTCTCTCCCTGGCTGCTCCCCCTGCTTGTGTTGACAATAAATAAAATCTTCAAAAAATATATTTATGGCACAAATTTTAGTTTGAATCATTAGAACCAGTGTACATATGGGTTAAAATAAACTCCAGAGATTATTCATACTTAAGGATGACGCCAGTAAAGCTTAATGATCTGCTCAAAGTCATGCCAATAATTCAGTGACAGAGCCTAAATTAGAATTCAGAGGACATGAATTTGAAGTACCTCCAAATATTAAAAAGGCAATTACTAGATGACCCATAATGTTCCTTCCAACCTAAGGTCTAGTTATGAATATTGCTTTAAATATGATCTGGAGAATTTTTTCTGCCAGAATTGCCATTTTATAATACTTAACAGCATTTAACTTATGTTCTTCTAGCAATGAATTTTCATCAAATAATCAACTAATAAAGCAGGTGTGGGAAATTGGGCAGGCCTTCAGAGACTGTTAGAAGACAGAATGAAGAAACTGATGCAAAACATGCATGCACCTATTTTTCTTACATAGGCAATTATTTTAGAGCTTGTTTCAGAATTTCCTTCAGTTGGATGTGGTATCCTGAAGCAATTTCTTAGTACTGTGAAATATAAATGGTGAGACTTTCAGACAGATCCATTAAAAGTCTTAGTTTAGAAACTATACCTAAGGTACTTTAGAAACCCTGAATCAACTGTACCTATAACCCGTTCTACTAAAACCTCCCTCAAAAGCCACCAGTGACCTCATTATCACCAAATTGTTTTACAGACTCGTTGTTTTAATAGTTTAAACTCTGCACTTAGATTATTGCTTATTTCCATGGTTTCCAGCTCTTACCCTAAGTAGATGACTAACCACCTACTTCAACTCAGTGATTTCCCCAACTTCCAGCCAATGCCTCTTGCAGTTGTCTTTCCACTTACTCTACCTGCACACACTCATATGCCATTTGACCATCAATATATTTTGTTGGGTGAAATTCATCTCAAAGACAGTTATTAGCGAAGAAGGGTGAGGAAGGAAATCATGAAGTGGGAAGTAACAGAAATTGCATTTTTTCTGTATTACATAGGAGGGTGAAGAGTGATGGACAATCTTGTGACAAGGGAGTATTTTAATAGTTGTTAAAATGTGTAACATCCCCACCCTTTTCTGTTAGTTCTATCAGCCAGCACAGAGTTGGTTAAGCAAATAAATACACTGGGACTCCAGTGATATTGTATAACCTTTACACTGGGAGAAAAGGGTTCTAATTGTCAGGAGACTGTTACTCAAATAAAACTTTCATTTTTCACAAATTAAGGGATAGTGAAAATCTCCACATCTGAGTATAGCACAAATATGTAAACCAAACATGAGTCATTATTTTGTGCCTATAAATGACAACTTCATAACTATTAATGCTTTAGTTCTTGTTGGTTTCTAGAAAACAAGTAATTCTTATTCTTGGCCCATTTTCATAAAGGAAGAAGATGTTGATGTCAAACCTGCAAAAAAAAGTGAGGCCCCATTTACTCATAAAGTGAACATGAAAGCTAGATTTGAACAAATGGCTAAGGCAAGAGAAGAAGAAGAACAAAGAAGAATTGAAGAGCAAAAGTTACTACGGATGCAGTTTGAACAAAAGGAAATTGATGCAGCACTACAAAAGGTAGCAGGCTTACATACTCTATTTTTCAAATATGCTCTTAAAACACTGAGGGATTAAAAATAATTTTTTAATAGCTTTCAGGTCAGTGTAATGTTTTATAAAGTACACATTGTAGTAGGCATATTTACATGTTCTTTGGGAAGCAAAAACCCATTCACTCAGGAAATTCTTTTGCTAAACCGTTGTCCTGAAAATGCTACTTTAAACACCAACTTGAATGTGCTTATTTATATTTAATATAGAAAAGAGAAGAGGAGGAGGAAGAAGAGGGTGGTAGCATCATGAATGGCTCCACTATTGAAGATGACGAGCAAACGAGATCAGGAGCTCCGTGGTTCAAGAAGCCTCTAAAAAACACATCGGTTGTAGACAGTGAGCCAGTTAGATTTACTGTTAAAGTAACAGGAGAACCCAAACCGGAAATTACATGGTGGTTTGAAGGAGAAATACTGCAGGATGGAGAAGACTACCAATATATTGAAAGAGGAGAAACTTACTGCCTTTATTTACCAGAAACTTTCCCAGAAGATGAAGGAGAGTATATGTGTAAAGCAGTCAACAACAAAGGCTCTGCAGCTAGTACCTGTATTCTTACAATTGAAAGTAAGAATTAATCACTTAATCTAGAACTTTTATTCTATTTAAATTTTTTTCCTTTAAAAAAAAAATCACTTTTCTTCTTCTCTTTTTTAGCTGACGACTACTAGCTCCCCTCCCCTCTCCCTGGAACTTTCTCTCCCTGCCCCCCCCGACTTTCTTACTACACCCATGTTTTCTGTGGCGGGGCCAAAATGGAAACCAGAAGTGCCACTATGTTGACTTTCTATTCCTTTTCATAATAGTCTTCAAAACACAAGCTCATCTAAGGAATAACTTCTTCCTTTCCAAATGATCACCAGATTCATCGCCATATTATGCAGAAGTTAAGGTGTATCTAATGGGGTAAAATGGAAAATTTACTCAATTATTAAAATACATTATTTTGCATGAAAGAATGTCATTTATGAGCTATTTTCACCGAAAATTAGTCCAAGATAGTAGAGACTTAATTTGGAACCTATCAATTTGAGTTTTCCTTAATACATCATTTTCCTTGTAGTTTCAAAGTCTTTCTGAAGCAGAGAGGGGGAAGGGGTACCATTCCTTTCAAGGGAAAGGGGAAGCATGGAGAACAAAAGGAGGACTTTAAAGAAACAACTGCCAGAGAAAACTTAATGGAAACCACTGCCTATAGAGTTCTGAATGTTGAGAATAAATATTAACATGTACTTTTCAAATGTGTGTAATATATATTCAAGCTTATAAAGTCAATTTATGTTGTGACCTAACTTGAACAAATTGTTTAGTGAGAAAACTTTGTATCAGTAGTTTATGCAGGAGAAAACACTTTCAACATAATGAACGATTTCAAGATCTAAGAAAAAAAAAAAGGCACAATATTCAATTTTAAAATCTGGTCTTCAAGTTTGTAAATAATTAACTACCATGTTCTAGTACCAACTTGTTTTGTATTTTAGTTTTCTGGAAGACAACTGTATTTTACAATGTAAACTCAGTAAAGTAACTTCTGTATTAAAAAATAAAGTCAATATTTTAGAAAAGAAAAACACTCCTTTATAATATTGATCAATGTACATTTATTTTTTTTATTGAGGAAACCATAATCAATACAAAATTACAGCAATCATGTGCCCTTTTACATACAATGTCATTAAAGCAAACTCTAAACCACAGTTTGTAAAGTATTCAATTTACCTCAAGTCCAAGCTGCATCTCCCTAAGACACTGTTCCCATCACAGTAGCCATTTTAAGCCAATCTTCTTTTTACACACGGGTAGTTTCTGTAGAGAACACTTTTCTCAGGACGAAAATGCATCGAGCATGCATAAGAAAAAATATATATATATATATGCGCAAATACATTTAAGAGTTTCTATAGGGCTATCATTGAAGAAAATAAAACCTCGGGATTTGCTTCTTAAAAGCACCAATTTAAAAAATCCCTCAGAAATTTATACTGTGGCAAGAAAACTCAAGTGACTAAACAAAAAATAAGGTTATTTTCAGAGTCAAAATTATCTTTAGTATTGTTAAAATAATTTTAAAATGAGGCAGAATTTTCAGAAAATAAAAAGACATCCTCATTGATCATTTCTACATCCTTATTCTAGACAACAGATGTTTGCAGATAGAGCTGGTTCTCCTGGCAGAGTATTCAAACAAATGTTATCACTTCTGCATATATTCCTATTTCCCTCTTAAGGTACTCTGCCACTCCTACCCAAACCCACCCTTATGAATTAACTACCAAGGTATTTGTCTAAGGAAATATTTTATAATGTTTATAAACAACTAGTATCAAATCATTAGTTTTAGTATTAAAACCATTTTCATTAGTTAAAAATAAAAGTATACTTTTCATTTCTAAAAGAAACATCAAACCATAAGAATTCTACATAACACCACTCTAAAATATCATTAAAAAATGAAACACATTGTCAAGTTTTTTAAGTGCTAAATAAAATAAATCAGTTCAATTTCAATCTAAACATTGTTTCTACCACTCCTAACATCCATTGCATTCAAGTCAACTGGCTCACCTTTTCTGCTTTCCATTTATTTCAAGGTTAAGATTAGCGCCATTTAAAAAAATGCAGTATCAGTGAAGGCTTATGGTAATGAATAAAAAAAACTCGAGATAGAAACAATGCCCCAATATCTATTAGCATTCATCTATATTTTATAAAAATGCAAACTACAACTAACCAAAACTTGACAGGCTCTTAAGGTTCAAAGAGCTCCTTTGTATTATCAGTCTTAACATACCTATCATTGACTATTAAAACAATACATACACACACATAAATGTGGTGCAGTAACTATATAACTTACAAAATTTAACAGTTCATGGAACATTCAAGATCAAGCGAATAGCACTTTAAAATGAAAAGTGATCAAAAGCAGGTACATTACACCCTATACCATATTATGTATGGGAATACATTTCATATTTCTCAATTATGATTTGCCAATTTTACCTTCTACATTGAGCCCTTCTATGGTCCATGCTCATCGGCTCACCAATGGCATACACTCAAAGGATTCCTCTTTATGGGTAACTATCTCAGGACCTGATTTTATGAGCTATGATTTGGTGCTTGCAGCATCTTCAGCACTGTGTGTGAAAATGAAGGCAGTATTTTTGAATATTTTTCTTTGTTGTAGAGATAAGCAGGAGTTTTTAAAAGGATCAGCACATTTTAGAAACTGAATAAACAAAACTGATATGATGCTGCTTTAATACATTCATCTTAACTCAAAATATGTACCAGTTAAAATCATCTATAAGAACACAAACATTTTAAACTGGCAAAAAATAAATGCAGCGTCAGTTATTAAAGTATTATAAATCAGAAAAATACTGGTTGCTATACAGATTATGAAAGGTTATTTGCTATACAGTTAACATTTCACTGATGCACATGCCTTATCAAAAACATACTGCCAGTATTCCTTATAATTTTTTCCTTTTTCAGTGTATATAAAGATTATGAAAACTGAATTGTCTAAAAAAAAAAATCATAATAAAACTCTGACCAATAATGTCCTTACTGAATTATTATACTTCAAGAATAAGAAAAAAATAAAGATTCCAAGCTTTGGAGGGCAAAGAAAATGTCCTGTCAATCATAAAAAGATTGTGAAGGCTGTTGAAGTTTCTAACCAAGTGATTTCCTAAATCTAGAAAACTGTAATTGCCCTTTTTTAATTTTAACAATCCCTCTATAGTTGGGAAAAGATCACAAAAAGTTTGGATGTAGTTCAATTACAGCAGCAATCTACTCATCATTTTTTTCGTTTTCATAAAAAAAAAAAACAAAAAACCCAAAAAACAAAAAAACAAAAACCATTACCCAGAAATGTAAACAGTTGTTTGAACAACTTACAGACTTTCCACTGAAATGGTAGCATAAATAACAAAATACATTGTGGGGAAGCAGTAGCAGATTGCTTTTGAATTACACAACCACAAAAACCTCACAGGGACAACATTAATGTACTGAAATATTTATTTATATATGTCCTTAGGTTGTGCTTACCTGTTGCTTTTTGCAGCAGAACCTAAGGTGGAAGGTCTGGGAAGGCACTGTGAAGTATAAATAATTGCACTGTTTGCAATTAATAAAGATTTTAAACCTTAAATGAATCAAAATCAACAGCCTCCAATTTGTGAGTTATGATACTGAATCCAACTGAACTATTTCTTCAGTTTAATTAATAAATGCACCACTTTCCTAAAAGGTCATCTATAAAACAGTATCATGCAAAATACTGAAATTGTTCATGTCAATAACCCTACTCTTAAAGATAACACATAACTAACTCCTTACTAAACTTGAAACTAGAACTATATACCCATATCTAAATAAGGGCAAGGGAAGTCACTCCACGTTCTATAAAACAATCAAAAACATTTCAAAATATCTATAATGAACTGAACTGCTATTTTCTACCCTGTAAGTAATCTCAACATTTATGTCCTTGTACATCTCCCTTAATAGTATATTCAGAACAACTGGTGCTCCCCACCAATGAAAGAACTAATATATATTTATGAAATGGTGTTAAACTGCTACATTGCTTAATATTCGCAAACTGAAAACCACTTCTGTCTGATACATTTCAAGTCTTTCATATTAATATAGAAGATATGCATATTGTACATTGAAAAACAATATATTTTAGGAGCACCAATGAGTAATACTATTCAATTTTAATGATCAGTTTTCTTTAGCTATAGCTAAAGCATATCAAAAATACTTACCCATTAAGCTCACTTAAAAAAAAAATACAGACCTATGTATTATTCTATGTTAAATTAAGAAGCAGTTATGGTTTTCCAAGATATCAGCACTGTATTCCAACATAATATTCACACAAAGTATGGCATTTACATTATGTGGAACATTGACAAAAAGATACTGTTGCAGTTCATCAATTTGTCATTCTGATGTACTTACAGTGCAATGCTCCTTGAAGGAACACAATCAAGGATGATACACAGCACAGTCCTCCTCACCCCTACAGAGCTAGTTCTATACTGGCTGGATCAAACCTGCACTTCAACAGACAATGGCAAGACAGACTGTATTTGCATGTAGTCTAATATATTAATATGCAAAGAGCCAACAAATATGCAAAGAGTAAACAATGGATTTCAACAAAGTATCAGAACTTCAGCATGAGTGTTATAGAGTAATAAAGTGATTTCAAGTACATAAAAAATTAAGTTGATTCAATGATTGGACTTGTGCATTTACAGAACAAAGCTTATCTATACTGCAAAAAGAAAAAAAAAAAAAAAAAAGCTTGAACATTTCCATACCCCAATAATGTTTCAATGGCAGATGCACTGTAGCTATACTTTTTGCATACTATTCACTTTTCTACCCTAAATTTAAAAAGAAACACACTAATATTGTATACATTGAAAGTTTCTTTACATGAAAAAACTTCTTAATCAACTACTCATATTCACTATCCGAAAACTGTTTAAAAATTAGTTATGCTGAAATAGTCTTGGAAATCAAGTAATTATTAAATTAAGAACAGAAAGGTTAACTGTTATAGCAGCAGTACAGATCTGAAACAGTGGTCATGTATAAAAGGAAATTTCACTGTTAATGCAATGGAAGTATGCCAAAAGATCACTGTACACACATGCAGGTTTTAATCAAACAGAAGGAAAAAAAAATGAAGATATCAGGATTACTTGTGCTGAAACAGCCAAATACAATAAATGGAAAAGATCCTCCAATCTACTACTATACTGCAAGGGGGAAAAAACATGCCAGTGTTTAAAAACTCAATTAATATTTCATGGGGAAAGCTTATATTTGTGTATATGTATCTTAATTTATCATTGCTAAGAAATTATGAATCCTTTAAATACCCACATATCCAACTTACCGACACAGGAGGTTTCATATCATTTATTGTAAAGCACAAAACAGGCATTTTAAAAGTGAAAGTATACATTGAAAAAGTACATTTATATCACAAAGCATTGACCACATAATAGTTGCAAATACATTTGCTGGAATGTGTACATCTACACTAAATACTAAAAACAAACCAATTTTCATTTCTACACAGAAATATTAACCTCCTATCAGTAGTGATAGATATTTTGTACATTTTCAAAAAAAAAAAAAAAAACCACTATTTTAAACCAAAAACAAATTAAGATCTTCATCAAGTCGTCTGCATCCATATATTTAACAAAGGTTTTTTTCCCCCACACAATGAAGCAAATACTGTATTGTCCACTTCTTATTATTGGCCCTGTGCAGAAGAGATACATAAGAAATACACAAAAAGTTAAAGAAAATCCTTTAAATGGAGCTAACTCAGGAGTGAATCCTTTAAGAAAGAAAAACTGGTTAATATAAATGGTGGTGGCTTCTTGCATGATTTGCAAATCCCTGGGGGAAAAAAATTTATTTTTAAAATCAAAGGCATTGTAGAAATATTCAGCACTCAGATGCCAGAAAGCATTTATAAAAAACAAACAAAAAAACCCAAACAATACACCACAGTACTTCATTTAGTTATGCTATGCCAGATAAAAATTAAAAAGGCAAACATAATCCCAGACAAAACAGTAAACATGCAGAAAACATGATTGGAATAGAAATCAACACATTAGCAAGTTTCGTATACCTGAGGTGCTGGAGGATGCTGTGGCATTCCCTGGGGACTTGTCTGGGCATAGTAGGCTGCTTGTTGTCTATAGTACTCGGCCCAGGCTGCACTATAATCTGGCTGACCACCTGGTGGAGCACCAGTAGGAGCAGGAACTGCTTGACCTTTGAGAAAACAGAACAACTTTGTTGCTGTAACCACAATTAAAAGCCCAAAAGAATCTCATTTCTAATAAAAACAATACCTTGCTTCTTGTAATATTCCTCCCAAGCTTTTGAATAATCTTGTGTCTGCCCTTGTTGACCTAAAAAAAACCCCCTAAATTTTAATACAAAATTATATCCACTGTAAGTACAGGTTATAAAGACAAGCACAGAGGGTCAGAATTGCTCCTGTTTTATTTTATATATTCATTAGTGTCCTATTTTAAATATTCATTAGAAAACTACTCTTGTAATTAAAAAAAATCAGAACGCTGTTTCTTTTTGCCTTATTAATATTAGTAACTTTTAGTTCGAGAGTATCACTATTAAGAAAAAGCAAAATCGAAACCGTGACAGTTTTAACTAGGAAAGGAGAAAATTTAGGTATCTTGATTCAATACAAAATTTATAAATATGTTCCAAAATGAGTTTGGAAAGTACTTCAAGTAAGCAATCTATGGTACCCTGGTACTGATGTTGGGCACAGGGATGGGGGAGACCATTATTTTTTGTCTTATTCATTTGGATGTTACACTACAGATTTTAAATAAAATGTAAATCCTTGATGGAGAAAAAGAACATTTTTGAGAAACAAACAAAAAACACCTGAAAGCTTTTAAAGACTTAATTAAGATCTGGTCAAGATTTTTGTTTCCTGATTAGTAACCTACAAACTGTGTGTACAAAGACTAATCTTCAAGATACTTTTTAGTAAGATGTTAAAAGTTTCAATACAATGTATTCAAATCACAACAAAATTATATTAAAAGTAAGCTGAACAAAAGACATAAAGAACAATTACTGAGAGGTTCAAAGCAACAAACCAATGAAACACAAAACTCAACAGCTTTCATAAGCAGCTATTTTTCTAGGCAGTGTAACTCCTGAATGACTAAAGAGACCTAACAACCTAAATACAATGCACAAAACTAAAATTGGCTCTGGATTAAAACCAACTTAACAAAACTCACACACACACAGCTACAAAAGCACTTTTCTGACAACGAAGGAAATTTAAATATGGTATGTTGATAATATTACTGAAATAATTTAAAAGTCTGCAACTTTGTAAAGGCTCAAGGCACAATATATATGTACACACGCACAGACACAAAGTACATATGGTAAGCTTTTAAAAAGTGTTGAATTTGAGTAGAAAATACAAATATGGGTGTTTGCTGTACTATTTTCTAATTTTCCGAAGGTATATAATTTTTGAAAAAAAAAAGGGGAGAAAGAATGCGTATTTTCTTATTTAGCTCCTTTGAGAATTTTATTTAGCTTATAATTACTTGACCTGATGAAGTATGGCTAGACAAAAAATACTGAAGCACAGACACAGAGAAAGCTGTTTTTATGTTTGTTGGATGTTGTCAACAAGGTAACTTTATATAGTTGCAGAAATTAGTGTCTATCAGCATCACAAAACTGGCTGAAGAACAGAAGCAATTCAGTGAATAAAATTTTAACATTTATGAGTAACTTTAAAAATCCAGGAAAACCCCCCCTTCTATAAATATAGGCAACAGCAAAGAAATCCCATGTAATATAAACAAAATTCTCTTATTTTTGCGAGCCCTAATCATCTTCAAAGAGGAAGTGAGTTTAACATTTTATCCTATGAGACACAATTCAAGCAAATCTGAAACAGGTTTCAGTATTTAAGACAACTGCCAAATACCCCCAGGGTATCAACAGTAATAAAACTACACAATGTGTCTTACAAACTGTATACTTGAAAACCTGCTGACTTAAGGCCAAACTTGGTTAAGACAGCAGCAATTTCTACCTTGGGTTTACAAAAAGGAACTGATCATTGTTAGATACTCATTTTATAGGCAAAATAACTAACATGGTAGAAACACGGAGACACATTAAGAAAATTCATCAAACTCAAATGTTCCCTACCCTCCCCCCAACTCAAATATTTCTGTGGGAAGTGAAAGGTAAACATATTAGACTCTAAGAAAAACAAACACTTGGTAAGTAGTAAACACCTCACACTCCTTTCTTGAAGGTGTCCAAAGAAAAACTTAACTCATTCCTCCAATCTGGGGGACAAACGTGATTCATTTTGCCCTGCTGAAAGTAAAGAAATAACTCTTCCTATCTACTTGGGACTTGGCTATCCCCTAGCCTCTTGTGCCTCTCTGCCCCTTTTAGGAATGTCCTTAGCTTGCTCCCTTTATCCTTAGTTCAAAAACTGTTTGAGGCGAGATAGTTTAGTTTATCCTTTAGAACATTACTTAATATTTACATATAGGTTTACAATATATAAGGTTTTACTTTCATTTCATTCAAGAGATGAGACTTGCCCGAGTTCACATGTAACATTCCTGAGCCAAACCTGATTGAATAGATTTCCCTCTAAATTCTCTAAACACCTGCATCTTTCCCACAACCACTTTCCCCACCACACGACCTCCATCACCCATCCCCTGGCCTTTACACCAAAGGTGCAGTGTCCACCATATCAGCGCTTAACATTAGAAAGGCCTTCCTCAACTCCCAACTTTTCCAAAAATGCCTTCACTAGCCCTCTTCCAAAGGGCAACTGCCAGTCTCTACTTTGAAATCCTTTTTCATCTCTCTTTAGGGTGTTTACTTATTACAAAAGTTCCCTTCACTCTAGCTTCAAAAATACCTACTCTTCCATGTTGGCTGCCATTCCTTATTAAGACTTAAAATTTCCTTCATTAACCCTCTAATAAACTCATCTTTGTGAATTTCTCTCCTAAATTCTGTTGGTGTTAATCCGAGGAAATTTAGAATTGTTTCAGAAAATGAAACGAATTTAAAAACTTAACCCGTTTCAAGAGGTTTATTTACTTATAAGTGAACAATGACAAATTTATAGTGTTAGTGGGTATTTTCTGTTAACAGAAAAAGCTGAAATTTGCCTTCAAAAGCTGGGACAGCCTACCTAGTTTGGTAAAGAGGGCACTGGGATGTCCAGAGTCCTAGAAAAGCACAGCTCTGCCACTGGAAGAGTTCAACTTGGCCTCTCCCAATAGGGGACTTAGATTTGGAGATAAAAGATTTTTATCTCCCTAATATTTTATTACTTTCTTCCCTTTCATTTAAAAATCTTGAGGGCACCTGGATGGCTCAGTCAGTTAAGCATCCGACTCTTGATTTCGGCTCAGGTCACGACCTCAGGGTCGTGGGATCAAGCCCCACATTGGGCTCCACGCTCAGCACAGAGTCTGCTTCTCTCCCTCTGCCCCTCCCCCTGCTCAAGCACTCTCTAAAATAAATAAATAAATCTTAAAAAAATAAAATAAAAAATTTTTGAAAACTGTCTTAGTAAAGCATGTGACTTGATCTCGGGGTTGTAAGTTCAAGCTCCATGTTGGTATACGGGCTACTTTAAATACATATGCATGTACATACATACATAAAAATCAATCTTGAAAACTGAACTATTAGTTTTATGCTTTAAGGTCGCTTATGCGCAGTTGTTCTAAAAAGGATCCTAAGGACCAGCAATGCACCTAGGAGAAATTAAGGTAGTTAAGCAACCAATCATTTAACAAAAGAACTTTTAAAGGAAAAAATAAATTGACTTTGTAGCTAACATTAAAGACCTGGCAATTTAACATTATTTCCTTTAAGATTTATATATGAGAGAATCATTAAACTAATCCTTTGCTCAATAAATTAACAGCTGATCAATGTCGTGCTATAGAAGAACACATAACTGACAAAAAAAAAAAGGTGGGGGTTAAGGAGGCTCTTAAGCCAAACATAGTGTTATTTAACTATTTCTGTAACATTTTTCTCCACAAAGGAGTCAACAGAGTCCAGCATACGATCTATAAAATTAAAATTTTACAGTCAGTAAAGGTAGAAAATGAAAAAAGGATGGCAAGGTGAAAAGTCTATCCTTAAAAATCTGAATGGTAGTTAAGACCTCACAGATTACATTCAACACGCATCCCTCACTTTGGGCAAGTAAAATAAAAATACTAAACAGTAATTAATGGCCATGCTACAAATGAATGGTAAAATACACTAAAACACAAGTTGGACTAATTCCCCAATAATTTTCTAGGTCCACAAACAGGCCTATTTTTACTCATTTTTAATATTAACGTAGGGAACATCTCTGGCTTATTAACCACTGTGAAAATATAAGCTGGACCCAATGATTTTTAACTGCAACAATTTAATTGCAAATCCTCTAATCTTTAAAATGGTGACACTATTTAATACAAGTTATTAGAGTGACCATAAGTCCTGACAGAATCCCATCCTGTTATTCTCAAAACTATCCAAATCTGGACAATAAATTATGTGATCACCCTAAATAGAATATACTGTTTTGAGGAAAAACAATTTTTCTTTAAACAGAAATCAAGCTGTGTAAAACATTCTCATCACCAGGTAAATGTATCCCACACAAAAAAGATTAATATAACTACCCTTCTGGAAATTTTTCTTTCTGTGGAGGATGACAAAACATCCATGGGCTGAGAAATTTAGGCTGAGAATCTCAGACTGTATCTTCTGAGAAAAATTCTAGCATCTATAGATTCATTCTATTCCAGTGAAGGATGGATAAGTTTATCTGTTTAGCTTTCATTTGTGGTAAGTGGCTGTGGTATACATGTGTTAATTTTAAATGACTACCACCACAAGCTTCTAAAAGCAAAAACGATCTGTTCAGAAATACAGTTGACCCTTGAACAACTCAGGGTTATAGGCACTGACCCGTGTACAGTTGAAAACTGTACACATGTAACTTTGACTTCCCAAAAACTGCTAATAGCCTTCTGTTGAGCAGAGGTCTTTACAGGTAACATAAACAGTTGATTAGCACCTATTTTTTATGTTTACGTATTACATACTGTATTCTACAATAAAGTAAGCTAGAAAAAAAATACTAAGAAAAATATAAAGAAAATTCATTTATAGTACTGTAAAAAAAAATCTACTTGTAAGTAGTCCCGCTAAGTTCAAACTTATGTTGTTATTAAGGAGTTAAGAGCATAATATCAGGTTCCAAGTGGTCCCAGGAAAAGGCCAATTTGGGAGATAGACTTGGAATTTACACCCTCCAGGGAGTTCAAATTCTGCTTCTACCACTTAGTAGCTGTACATGTGACATGTTAGTGGAAATACAGTCCTTTTTATTAGTAACAGTTTGTAGTAATATAGTTGGCAAAGTACTTGATTAACAATTGTATCCTCCATTAGAATAAAACCAGAATAGCTCCTGCTATTATGCCCATAATCACATTCTCAGCTCTATCACTATGTTTGGCATGTGGTACGTGCTCTACAGTTACTGAATGGAAATGGCCTTTCTAGGTGACCTTTTCTTTTTCATATACGCAAATGTTATTTAAGTAATTAATGTACTATGTCACTGTCAGTTTTATTTTGCAGCAGAAAATACCACACACAACCAATTTTTGCTTGGCACTCCAGAATTTAACCTATGCCAGTTAGGCTACTAATATATGTAACTATCTTTGACAAAAGTGCAAATAATATCCAATGTTATATGTGTCAATGGGGCAATTTTTAGTTTCAATTATTAAGTGGTTGACACATACATTTAGAAATAAGATTTCCTTGTTATGTGACCACAAATTTAAGAATTATCTGTAACAACCTTGCTACACCCAAAAGTTGTGATTTTAGAATGCGTTCAATTATTCTCCAAGATTTTAAAAGTTAAAAATAGAAAGTCCCAGTAACAAAACCATGATACAAACATGGTTTTCTCACAGTCTTCATCCTTCTACCGTGATATTTACTAAATACTTCAACTGCAGTTTAATTAAATGTATAAAAAAGAAATGTAGAACATACCCATTTTCTTGTAATACTCTTCCCAAGCCTTGGTATAATCAACCTGTCCAGCTGGAGCTGGATTCTGCTGATCTCCTTGTTTAAGAAAAACAAAAAACAACAAATGGTAAGATTAAGGGTTTCAAAAGACATTCTTGGCCCTTTCCTTCTGTTCCTTAAGTGGAGAAATTGGGAGCGGCCTGCCATAGTGAGTGAGGGTGCTGTGTGGTAGTGGGATTCTTGCTCGTGCCAAAGACATAGGAAGCAGGAGGTATAGAGGCAGTCAAAGAAAATCTGTCTATATACAATGGAAGGAAGACTAGTCACATTGAGCATTTAAGTAAATTCACTGGTTAAAAAAGGAAACACAATGAAGATACAAGGTCTTTCACCATTTATAAGCATGGAAAGGGAAAAAGCTAGAAAGAATCCTGAAGTGTTATAATGGAATTGCAGGAGATACAATAGTCTTATAAATATATACATAAATTATTTATGTTGTTTCATATATGTGTATGTAGATATACATACAGGTAAATTTCTTAGCTCTGTATGCTGAAAGGATTTAGAAGCAATGACAGCTTGGTAGCAATGAACACACTGAGTTTGGTTTCTTAGATGATGGTATTTACTAAAAGGAATCAGGGCTCCTTGGAAAAATGGCTGATTCTAGGGCTTGAGCCCAGAAAGCACAAAATAAGCATCTTATTGTGCAAGAAAGTAAGATGTGCTTAAAAAATGACAAACATGTCAAAAGGATACAGGAGCCATCTTGAAGGTACTCCTGATTAGCCAAACCTAGGGCAATCTGATAATCATATAGTAAAGATAGTTTAAAAACACAACATGTTGAATAAAACAGAAGTCCATACTGATAGAAATAGGAAAAAAACTTCTTCCTTATAGTACAATACCAACTAATACATATAAAATGATGTAAATAAAAATTATCATCATAGCTGTAGCTGAATCAAGAATGTGTTATCAGAGAAGTTGATATGAGGAAAACAATACTCATATAATCTCAGTATAATTCTCCAAAAAATATTTATTAATTTCAAAGAGAAAAATGCAATTTTATAGTATAGAAACCTGGCAAGACACCAACATGACCAAGGGACTATGGTTACCATCTCCAGGGATGAAGCAGGTCAACATTACATGACCCCATGATATAATGCACCAAGAGCACAGCATTATTTTAGAGGTACTGCCAACCAGCAAGTAGGACCTCATGATCTTGACCTCATCTTTGTGAGAAAAAGTTGAAGGAACCTATGTTGATTTGATCATCATCTTGCAAAACAAAAGGTCTATACTTTTTTTGCCAGATGGGACCCTGGATCAGAATAGAGAAACTGATGGGACAACTGGTGAAATCTGAGTAAGGGTTTTGCATTGGGACAGTAATGACGTATCAAGGCTGACTGACTGTTTTAGCGGGCTATATGATGGTAATGTATTTTTGGAGTAATACAGAAAGAGTACTTAAGGTTACTGGGACTTCCTATGTACAGCCTGGTCTTACATGGTTCTCAAAAACTACTGGTAATGGATATGGGCATGTATGACAGGGTAAAGGGACAAATGGGAGGTGAGAGATAAAATATTAACAGCTAGGTTACCTGGGTGTTCTGTAATGTATCTTACAACTAAAACTTTTATGAAAGTTTGCAATTATTTCAAACTTATTTTTAAAAAGCAAAGTCTGCTCACTGAAGCTATAGTTATATTGGAAATTTCCAAACACAAGTTTCTACTTCTACATACAAAATAAATTCTTTAATTACCATAGTTACCTTGTCCATTGGTCTGGGTTGTAGTTGGTGCACCAGCAGGAGCTGCAGGTGGTGGCTGTGCTTGCTGTTGATAATAGTGAGCATAATAGGCAGCCCAAGCTGCTGAATTTGGATCCGTTCCTGCCTTAGCTAGAATAAACACAAGTTCAAGGTTTGCATCTGAAGTCCATAATCTCTCTCTCTCGTAAATAAATAGACCTCCAAAATTAACTGGTTATCAAAAATAGTAAATGGGAAGTTTTCAATTCTATTACTTTGTCATCATTAGCGTTAATTACAGAAAAGTGAGGTGCAGAGATTAAGTGACGTTCTTAGAGAACTAGCTGAGTGGCAGAATTAGGATAGGAACAAAGCTTTTTTGTCTCCAAATCCAATGCTTTGCCTCAAACCATCCTGTGGCCTTGGTTTCTTCCTAAACTGGTTTTGCCTCAAGCACAGCAATTCTACATGACAGAGGACTACAGGAAAAGGATTTCTAGGAACTAACCTGTACAAGAAACAATTACTTTAGAACTATGAATTCTGTCCTGTCTTGCTTTCAATGTAGAGACAATGTAAAAATCTTAAAAAATAAACAAGATTTAGCCATATTTCATCTCCTCATATTTCACAGTAATTATCCTAAAACATACACTTCATGTTACTGCCCTACTTGAAATTCTTCATTTATCCCATACAGTCTTCAGGGCTGTCGAAGCTTTTTTTAAGTGCAACATTATCACTCAACATCTTTAATGATCTGACCCCCTGGCTTATCCTTCCCATTCTAGCCATATCTTCCCCCATTTGTCAATATTTTTCCAACACTCAAATTCTGGTCACAGTAAACTGCTTGTACTTTTCAGAAGTTGCCACGTTCATTATCTGGCCTTAGACCATGTTATGCTTTCTCTGTACTTGCACCCTCATTTCATCCTTCATAAAAATCAAACTCATGCAGTAACAGTTTGAGATCTCTCAGTCAGAAACAGAAATCCTCTTCTTGATTCTGTCCTTTATATCAAGAATATCATTTGACACTATAAATGTCTTTTTAAGTTTATATTATCAATAAAAATGTAATTTCCTTTGCCAGACTCTGTATCTATATGAAATCTGTTTAGCCTTTATCCCAAATGGGCAGCAAGTCTCAGGTGTTTAATAAAGTTTGAGAAAAAAGGAGCAAGGATTTCTAGAATGATACAATGTCTAAGGTAATACAATTTTAAGGCATGATCCACACCCTCCACACCTTCCTCAAGTAATAAATGTAGTGCTTTTCTAAGTTGCATGTTTGTCTTAATTGTGTCATTACCTGTATATTAATACAAATATTTCACTTGACACCATCTCTGTCTAGAGAAACTGAGATAAAACAGACTTTAGAAAATGATACTTGTACTCCTGAATGTGTAGAGAGTATAACAGAACCAGTCTCACAGTTACATATAATACCTACAGAGAATTTACTAATTATTCAACACGATTATCTTTCACTTATCATATTATAGGTAAGAAAAAAAATATAGAGGGATTAAAAAACTTGCTTACTATCCCAATTACTAAAGTTGTAGCACTAGGGCTTATCTAGGTCTGATTTACTCTGAAATCTAAGTTCTTGACTACTACATAAATCCTTAACAGCCCATTTATTTTTCAAAGAAAAATATTTTAGTTCAGAGAATATGGACTTTGTCATTATGGGGCCACATTTAAACACCAGAATGTTAATCAAATTCACTAAAACAGTTTCATCTAAATAATTTTGATTTTTACATATTGCTAAGTCTAATACAAGCAATATCTAACCCCAGCTGCTATCTTTTAGCTAAATGGGTTACTTCTTTTTCCAAAGGCAATGCTGTAAGCCATATTCATCAACCAATTCTTACAGTGGTGACTTAAGTACTACTCCCAGTGAGAAAACTTGGCTGTGATAGAGACTACTTCTGATTCCCAACATTTTTCTCAATCATGTTACTGACCCAAACAGTGCTCATAAGGTGCAATCCTGCAGATCCAAGTTTCCCCTAAACTTGCTCAAACTCTTGAATCTCTTAAATTATGTGATTTTTCTGCCTAATCACATCATCCCAGTTAGCTTACAAGAGGGAAGGAAAAGTCTTTTCATTCTTAAGAGATGTTTAAACTATTATACATTAAATTATATTTGACTCTCAGTCAACACAGCACTGCTAACACTTAGAACGCACTTTTCTGCTATACAACGTAAACTAATCTTTGCATACCCACATCCTTGCACACTCAAGTTGTTTCTTGAGTGAGTGTAAGTTGTGGTTATTTGCTCTGTCATGCTGTGCCATCATATTCCAAAGAGCACACCTCCTATGAAATTAAAGTATGTTATAATATAGGGCCACATTTAAATAACAGAATGTTTAATCAAATTTACTAAAACGATTTCATTTAAATCAATTATTTAATTCTTTTAAGAAATAAATACACTAGTGTGGAAAGGAATCCATAATTCAGTACCTTCCTTGAAACTAATCCAGTGAAAGAGGCCTAAAAGATAGGTAGTAGGTGAGAAAGAAGGATCATAAATAAATGTTAATTGGTTTCGATGAATGCCCTTTTGACCATCATGGAAAGAAAACTAGAGGATGGCAGATGCAGTAACAGAATAGAATGTATATATAAAATCCAGATCTGAACAGAGAATACATTTAACTAAATGTATTTTTGAGTTGTAACATGCAGACATTAAACACAACCCTGATTTTTACTAATATGTGAAGGGTATTACCATATCAGGAATATGAAAACAGCTTATATATCTTATTTGAGAACTTCAAAGTTTAATACTCAAGTATTAAATGCTCCATTAGACACTCACATAATTCTATAAATAAACATACACTATTCTTTCATGGATAATGTCACAATTAACACATTATACATTTGATGGCACTGGTATTTAAAACTAAGACATTGTACTTCTTCCTGTAGTTTTTGGCCTTTAGCACTCTGCCCTTATCACTTTGAAAGGACAGAAAGCCAAATGCAAGTAGAAAAAAGTTCACTGAAAACAGACCATGTTCACACCAATCTTATACACCGTGGTAAAACCAGAAACTAAGACTCCTGCTGCAAGAGTGTTAAGTGCAGAAAAATGCACACAATGTAGAACTGACACTAGAAAATTTAAAAAGGTAACAGAAATGACAAACAATATAATTTACACATGAATGATAAATGTCTTTTACCTGGATCAGGAGGGGCCTGTTGCTGCCAGTGTGGATATGCATTTCCCCACCCCTGGGGAGCATAAGGAGCTGGAGGACCACTGAAAAGATAGAAATCAACATAAAAATACAATTTACCAAAAGCTAGAATCTTTGGGGGGAAAACCCCAGAACCAAACTCAATACTTACTGAGGTGCAGGGCCGGGTGGTCCTGGATTATAAGGTGCAGGGTTGTATGGTCCCATTGGAGTTCCAGGCCCTGGAGGCCCAGGAGGCCCATGGGGACCTGGGACACCATGGGGCCCATGGGGTACAGGTGGCCCTAAAGGATTTACTGGGCCCTATAAAAAAGCAGAAAGATGCAAAAAATCAGAAAAATGGTAATGGCTGAACAATTCAAAGGCCAAATTAACCTTCCATTCCTACCCTTTTATATACCCACAAGGAACATATTTTAGATTTTCCTTCATTTTCTCATTCATGTTGCTTAAATTCTTTACCATACTGAGACATGTAAATTCATTAAAATCAACAGCATCAGCAAATTGAAACATCTTCTTTACATTCCATTCTATTCCTTTCAGACTATTCCCTTTTCTGTTATTTCTTTCCTTTTTTAATTCTTACTTTTACTACTCCTTTATCATTTTAATCATGGATGCCTATGAAATATGTTGTCTCTAGCTTTTCTTTTTCTGCATCCATTTGACATTTATTTTCCTAACAATCAGACAACCACCTTGACAATATATTCCCCAAATTGCTTAGGGTTTGTATTGTGAATTGTCTACTGGGTACTTTACCAATAAAGTAACAATTCTCACTCAAAACACTATCCTCTTCACAACCTTTGTGTCACTGAACTGCACTTACATGAACAATTTAAATTCATTTCCTCTTGCTCTTTATCATTTTCCAAATACCATATCTTCATATTCATATCACACCACATAATTAATAAAGCTTAGTTGATTTTCCTTTTCATAATCACTTGTAAAGACCACTAGACTAGATTTAACTGTCCTAAACACAGCTTTCGTGCAGTTAATACAGATCATGATGTTTTGGAGCGACCTGCTTAAACCACATTTGGTTGTCTATTTTCGCACAACAAAATAATGAAGCTAAACTTCATGACTTTTAAAATCCTTTTTATTACTTTATCCCTTTAAATCTCTAACTTGTCATTATCACTCACTTCTACTATCCAAAAACAATCCTTTCCAAAAAGTAAAAAAGGATTATCAAAAAAGTATTAATATTTTTATAGGGCTATGTGCCAGACACTCTTTTAAGTGACACACACTTTATTTCATCCCTACAACCCCATAAAGGAGCTACTATTATCCTCATTTACAGAAGAAACGGGAGGCAAACGAGTATAAATAGCTTACTCCAAGGTCACAAAGTCAGTAAATGACTCAGAGTATTCTGAACCCTAACACGTGACTCCCAAGAGTCCATGCTCATAACCGCCATACTAAACTGCTTCTCTATAACCTATCTTTTTGCCCATCAATCCAGAAGAAACCTTGATCCATGCATACTAAGCATTGTAAAACCCAAAACCAAGATGTGTTCATTTTTCTAGCATCAATCTCCGCCATTACCGAGTCCAAAATTACTTTCTTCATGTTTTTGAACACTTACTGTCCATCCCATAGAACTTACAGTGTTTGTATTTTTATAATACATTCTTTTTGTTTTTAAGTAATCTCTACACCCAATGTAGTGCTTGAACTTACAACCTGAGATCAATAGTTGCATGCTCTACTGACTGAATCAGCCAGGAACCCCTCTGAGACATTCTTTAAGCATCTTTTGTACATCTATGTTTGTCTTTCTCCATAACAGAAACAGTGTCAAACTTCTTTTGTATCCCATTCATAGCATGGCAAACATTAAGGAGAATTTTCCTAAGAAATTCTAATGGTTATTAGTAACTTAAGATGCTCCCTTACGCCCTATAGTAAAAGAATGCAGTAAAGCACTAGTTCCTCATTTATAAGAAAGCACAATCAAGACTCTCTATACATTTTTTGTACTACCACCAGGAAACTTTTCTACAGGAAAAATTTCCAAATTTGGCCATGTATCAGAATCACCTGGAACATCCTTCTAAAATTAGATGCTGGGCCCTGTTCCAGACATTCTGAATCAGAGCTGTGTGGTATGTATAGAGGTGGAAAGCATTCAAGTAGTACACATTTAAAACTCCGTAAGTGATTGTCAGTCTAAGAATTGGATTTGTAAATTTCTACTCTAAAGTGGGGGATGCATACAATTCATATTTACCTCACCAGGGTTGAGTAAAGTAAGCCCTTATTAAATACTGAATTCCCATTAACTATGTCCTTCAAGTAATTCTATAACCCTCCACCAACCCTAACATCGTATCTGCAAGTAATACTACCCGTTTATTTATCCACACCCAAATATAAGGTTCTGAACACTTATAAATGTGTATTTAATTGGGTTATTTTTCACTGCTGGAGAATCTTTTCTATGTTATATGTACCCATTATATGATGAAACCTATAATCTTAGACTAGAAATTGGCATTTTTCCGTATAGCCATTACAGGAACATGTGCATTAATGTCTTATTTAACTAAGAGGGTTTTTGTATAAATTGAGGCTGGTTATCTATTTATTTGGTTTCTTAAAACTGTTGTGTGTGTGTGTTTTAAAGATTTTATTTATTCATTTGAGAGAGAGCACAAGCAGGGTCAGGGATAGGGAGAAGCAGGCTACCTGCTGAGCAGGAAGCCTCACATGGGGTTCAATCCCAGGACCCCAGGATCACAACCTGAGCCAAAGGCAGATGCCCAACCAACTGAACCACCCAGGCGCCCCTATCTATTTATTTTTTAAGTAAGCTCTATGTCCAATGTGGGGCTTGAACTCACTGCCTGGAGATCAAGATTCACATGTTCTACTGACTGAGCCAGCCATGCACCCCTAGAAATTGAGGTTTAAAGCATACTCACACCAATCTTTTCTTCTATAAGTTGCCGCGCATAGTCTATTTGCTGTGGAGTGCCACGAATTGTAAATAGTTTCATATTAGGATCTGCATTAGGTGGAGGATTTCTCTGAAGTTCTATTCTTGCACCAGACTGCTGGCTTATGCTTTTTATGGTTTCACCTCCTAAAATCAAAACACATTAATTTCTCTAAAGATTCAAAGGATACAAAAGGAACTATCCAAAAGAAAATGGTCACAACTAAAAGGGCCATTAAAAAAAAGTTTTGAGCAGTATCCCATCTGTCAATATTCTTTTGGGATTTCCCATTTATTCTACACTTTAAATCAAGTTATATAAAGCATTCATGCTTCTCCTAAAACACATTCAAGTTTTAAGACATAAATTAGTATGCCTACACCCAACCTTAAAATGAATAACAAAAAAACTCTAACTTATCAAAATATTTGGCTCAAATAAATTGCTTTTACAAGTAACAAACTAACACACTTACAAAAAAATTCTAAATTTTAAGAAAATATGAGTCAGGAAAATTTTCTTACAACATTAATTAAAACTGTTGGTCCCCTCTCTAGAAGCCAATGTAATTCAAATCCCATTTTTATTTTATATATAAGGCCCTTCATTTATGTTTTTGTTACAAATCAACGTAAGATACAGCCAAGGAAAAATCACTGCTATTGGTTTACAACAGAAATAGCATACAGAAAAATCAGGCCATGTGTTGAATTTTTACCCACACATCAAAACATTAAAAAGTTTAAAATACATTGCCTTTTCCTATTATTAATCCAGTTTTCCCAGTTGGTACAATGAAATTAAATTCCTGTAGTCCACCAGGTGGTCCCATGTTCCAGTTGCCTTGACCTCTACCTCTTCCTCGACCACCAGGTCCAGGTCCACCAGGATTACCAGCCTAAAAAAGAGAAAAACAAGAAGGAAAGAAAGTCAGCATAAACTCTTCTTTCCATGATAAAGTCATTACATGTCTATCTTCCTCAATCTTCATTTTCCTATACCAGAAATTCAAGAGGCTGGGAGATGATGTGGCCCAAATAGTCAACAAGTAATACCCACCATTTATTCTTTTTATACTGGGATGAATAAGACAATTCACGTAGCTACCTTCCCACTCCCAAGATGTCTACCTCAAAGCAACTTAAACTTTCCAGTTATTAACAAAGTATCATCAGATTCTAATACAAAACTAAAGGGGGAGGGGGGGGACCCTTTCAGACTTAAAGGAAAACATTTTTTAAATGAAAACAAAACAATGAAAATATTAACATCTGTCAACCTGAACACTTCGAAGAAGGTCTGTAATAATTTCTGCAGCATGTTGACATCGGTCTGGAGGTCCTGTTATTTGTGCTATTCTATCAGGTGTTGTTCCATCATCTTCAAAACCAAGAAACAAATTGGACTGAGTTAGCAACAAATGTGTGTCAAAAAAGTAACTGCTGCTAACACATAGATAATGAAATATATGTACTCACCTGGCTTAAACTGAATTCGAACACCAGCATCATTTTGTATTTTTTTTATCATCTCTCCATTTCTTCCTATTACAATGCCAACAGCAAATCTTGGAATGGGGACCTTATACAAAGAAGACTAGGTATTAAGGAAAGTAATTTCCTGAAAATTAATCCACCTCAAACCATAAAAGTATATACAGCATTATGGTTGCATCAAATAGGGTAACAAGATATACATTCTGTACTCTAAGGCGTTAAGTTATGGGGGGGGGGGACGATTGGCAGGCAGGAGGGAATCCACATGTATTTATGAATTAGTATACAACCATTTCTGAATGGGTATTTTTACTTACATCTATCCCTTCATTTCCTCCTATTCTTGACCCATACTCATTTCGAACTTCTCTGAAACCACCTTGATCACGAATTAACTCTAACACCATTTCCTTGGCTTGCTGAAGTACAAACAAAAAAACAAAACAACACCCAACTTACAAAGCATGTCTCAAAACACTAATTATTCATATGTGTTCTGCCCATTCTGCCCCCAAATCCTTCTATGTAAGATATAAACTTAAGTTTACCTGAACTTTGTATGGGTCTCCTGTAATCCTAAGAGGTTTGTCAGCACCAGTGTTCTGAGGTCCATCTTGAATCATAACCATTTTAACTCCAGCCCGCTCCTATTAATCAAAGAAATCATATGTATTAACAAAAGGGGAGTGGAAGGAAACTGGCTTCAAAACAGATGAAAAGTAATTTTAGGAAGTAATACCTGAAGTTGTTTAATAGTTTCTCCCCCCTTTCCAATAACTAATCCTGCCTTGCTAGCTGGAATCATGATTTCTTGAACTGCATTTCCTGGTCCATCACCATGGTGGAAGCCGGGGGCTGGTCTTCCTTTTTCAACAATCTGGTCCAATAACCGTTTTGCTGATCTGTTAACAAATCAGGAGTCAAACAATAAGTTATAGCATACTCAAAAGCTTATCCAAATAGAGAAATACAAAATAATTTAAGCAGGTACTTCTCCCATCCCAATTCAGGTTTAGATGGCTTAAAGCTAATTTAAGAATTTTAAGTAAGAGAAAATGCCATCAGAAACTAAGAATGAAACTATGCAATAAATTTTCTAGGGATGTATGTAATTTGCAGTATTTTTGAGGATAGTCCTAAATTTCCAAGAAGTAGCATTCTACTTTTTCCCCCCACTCTACTTCTAAAGTTATCTCAGAATTAAGCTATTTTGCCAATTAACTAAATGATGTATTTCCAATTTTAAGACGTCACTTTGGTCACTCACACATTAAAATTTATTTATCCATTCAAAAATACTTAAGAAATGTTAACTACATACCAGGTACTATTCTAAGTAATAGAGTTACAACACTGAATGAAACACACAGGGTTCCTGCTGGTATAGCTCACCTTTATTAAGTAACTAAAAACAACATGTTTGGTTAAGTGCTATAAACAAAATCAAAACAGGATAAGGGGGACAGAATGTGTGTGCATAAAGCTATGCTATTTTATGCAAAGCAGACATAAAAGACTTTACTGATAAGGAGACATTCGAACTAAAATGTAAAGGAAGAGGGGGAGTAACTGAAAATATCAGAGGGAAAATATTCCAAAGGGTTAAGAGAAATTGCAAAGGACTCAGATGAGAAGCATACTTGGTGTGCTGAAAGAATAGAAGCTAAATGGGGCTTGAACAGAGTTGGAAGAAGAGTGGTAAAAAACGAAGTGAGAAAGGTGTCAGATAAATCAGGCCATGATAAAGACACTGACTTTTACTCTAAGTGGTGAAGCATTAGAGGATTTGAGCAAAGTAATGATATGAACTGATTCACATTTTAAAAAGATCATATGGCTATACTATTGTTAAGAATAGATTATTGCTGAACAAGGTTAAAAAGAATGGAAACATGTTGAAATACAAAAAAATGGTCACAGACAAGGTGATAGTATAGAAGGTGGCAAGAGTCTGGATTCCAAATAAATTATGAAGAAAAATGACCAAAGAGAGTTGCTTATGGATAAATGAAGGACAAGAAAAGATAAATGTACTTTTAAAAACAGATTTATTTATTTATTTTAGATAGAGTACCCATGTACAGGGATGGGGGTGGCGGAAGTGGCAGAGGAAGACGGAGAGTCTCAAGCAGACTCTGTGCTAAGCGCAGAGCCCGACCTCACAACCCTGAGATCAAGACCTGAGCTGAAACCAAGAGTCGGGTGCTTAACCGACGGTGCAACCAGGTGCCCCCCCAAAAGATAAAAGTATTAAAACAATGTTGCCATACACTGAGATGAGAAGACAAAGCATGCTGGGAATGGGGTGGAAAACAATTATTAACAATCTAAAGTTTCAAATGTCTAGTAGACATAAGTGGAAATACTAAGTGAGCAGCTTGATGGGAGTCTAGAATTTAGAAAAAGAGCAAGGCTGAATATAAAAATTTAGGAGTACATAAAATGTATGATATGTAAAGGTATATATTAAAGTTTATAGGGGCGCCTGGGTGGCTCAGTCGTTAAGCATCTGCCTTTGGCTCAGGTCATGATCCCAGGGTCTGGGGATCGAGCCCCACATCGGGCTCCCTGCTCAACAGGAAGCCTGCTTCTCCCTCTCCCATTCCCCCTGCCTGTGTTCCCTCTCTCGCTGTTGCTCTCTGTCAAGTAAGTAAAATCTAAAAAAAAAAAGTTTATAAAAGAGTAAATAAAGTCATCTAAAGAGTACATGTAGACAGACTGTAAGAAGACTGAATTTTGTGGCACTTTCATACTGAAAGGCCAGGAAGATAAAGCTGGACAACCAAGAATGCCTGAGAAAGAGCAGCTAGGGAGGGGATATCTCTAGGAAAGTAGTTCACTGTGTCAAACAATGTTGATAGGTGAAATGATGCAGAGGCCATTTGTGATCTTGAAAAGAGCAATTTTAATGGAACCATGGGAATAAAAGTCTGATTCATACAAGTTCAAGACAAAATGAAAACAGATGCAAATGATATGGCAAAGTGAACTACCTCTTTTAAGGAGTTCTATTGTGTAAGGAGGCAGAAAAATAGAAATGTAAGGTTCAAGGACAGGTTTTGTTAAGATGGAGGGATTTTCAAGCATCTTTATATCTTGTTAGAAATTACCTAGAAAATGGGAAAATTAATAGTGCAGGAGAAAATCAGTTCTATTTAGGGGCAATGTCCTTTTTCAGCAGGAAAGAGAGGCTGGCCTCAGGCATATGATTTCATACTTACTGGACAGATTCAGGTGTTCCAGTTAGCATACAAGACCTTTCTGGAAGGCCACCACTGTCTGCAATTAAAAAAACACCAAAAATATTTTAGGCCAACAAAAGATTATAACATCCTTTTCAGTAGTTACTTAAAAAAATATCCTAGTTCTCCAGTCACTCTGAAAATAGCAAAAGAATAACGTTACCAGGAGCTATCTGTATTTTGCATCCAGATTCTTGTTGTATGCGTGAGATCTGTTCACCACCTCTGCCAATTACTAGTAAAGAAAAAAGAAAAAAATTATTTGGTAAAGACTGTAAAGTATGTTTTGATTGTTTTCAAAGCTTTAAAAATTAGGCTACTTACTAAATCCAACCATTCCATCTGGAACTTTGTATTCTTCTGTCATTACAGACCTGCTAACAAAAGACAAAAACTAACGTTTTCCTTCAAAGAAAGAGAATTTGTTTACATATAAAAGGTAATCTAATAAAAATGGACATCTAATGGCTTAAACTAGGTTTTCAGGCACATATTCATAGTCAAAATACAGCTTGGGTAGTTCAAGTCAGAATCTTAAGGTGACACACATCAAGTGAGGAGGGTATGGCAGATGAACAGTCTGAAGGTATGAACTGCAAAGGAGTTGGGGTGGAGTTCAGGGAATTATTTTCATTCACTTTACTTCTAATATGTGGCTAATTCTTCCCATCCTGCCAAATTACAAATGCATCTCACTCAAAAGGAAAAATTATCATTCTGTATCAACTTAAGTGGAGAGAAATGAATATACAAAAAAAATATACAGACACATATTCACTATATACTAACTTGGTTGTGTTTTTACAGACCGTTCAACTAAAACTTGCAAAGTACTCTTTGAAAGGCATTTCACTATACCTTTGCTGCTGATGCATCGGTGGTAACTGTGTTCCAAAAGCTACCAAAAAATCAAATAAAATGAAAACTTTAAGTTCACACATATTTAACAATATAATCATATCAAGCAATACTAAAATTTTTCCCATACACATAGAAAACACCACCTTTAAGAGTAAAATTCTATGTAAAATACTTAAATAAACATTGACAGTGGGCAAGAAAAGTCAGTGAAATAGCAGGTATCTTTAACAATGACACAGAAACTGTTCCTTCTCAAGGGGCACAAGCTTAGGTTAAAAAATGGAGTTATAAAATATACTGAATATGAAAATAATTTAGCAATCAAATCTTATTACTATATACCTGACCATAATTGAAGTGGGAGATTATGAAGACAGGAAGTAATATTTACAAAGACATTCATTCTAAAATATTCATGGCCATCAACTAACTCCAAAGACACCCAATAAAATCCAGGCACAAAACCCTGATTATTAAAATCCAGTTACTTTAGCTTTTAACCCCATTTAAAATACTTACAGTCATTTTGAGGAGCAACTTTCTTAGCATCTGGTTGATCTGCAAAATTAAGAGCCTTTTAACTTTTTGCCAATAAATACAAATATAAGACTTAGCTAACCAGTGCCCAAGCAAGAATAAGTATCAATGTAAACACTTATTGAAATAGCTGAGGGTAATTGTTGATCATTTGAACCAAAAGTGCCAAAACTTATCCCAAACTCTTAGTAATCAAAAGAAACATTACATTTCTTTCATTCTTTTCATGTTTAAAAGATGCACAGACATTTAAAAAAAATTCTTTTTGATTGTATCAAATCACTGACCTTAATGTATGTTAAGCACTTTAGAATGATACAAGACAAAGTTTTTAGGTCCATTACTAGCAAAATATCACATGCTAAAGGCTAATGATGCTTCCCACTGTAGGAACTGAAGACTGGAAGAAAAACAGAACCTATCAAAATGTGAAAATTTGACATATCAAAGTTGAGTGTATCTGACAGTGACCACAAGGCTATGCAAAATAAATAAATAAAAAAATCACATTACAAGGCAATCTCAATCTAAACTATTCTATTGTTCCTAACCAAACATTTCACAGCATACGCTTCAGCAGAAAAACTCAAAGCAACTACATGACTACCTTCATCTACATCCTTTACACAGATGAATACAATGCATACCTTAGAATAGACAACCTACATCTGAAAGTACTACATTTTCCTCCCCCCTTCAAACTTAAATGATTAAACATCAGAATGTTGTGCAGCAAAAATTCAGACACATAATCCAAGAATTATTTGTGTCCATTTAAGAATCCACTGGTTTATTTCACGTTTACATACTAAACACAGGTAATAAATAAAAATTCCTGCCTTTAAAAGGAGAGGGCATTCCCTCCCAGTGTGTTGTACTGCTCGGACTTGTCCAAGAGCCATCTACACATAAAATAAAAAGAATACATTACATACAACATCTGAAGCATCATTAGCTCATTTTTTTGTATATTAAAACCTCACTATAAATGTGAAAGACACTTAAATAAAAGGAAACCAAGTACACCTGGTCAAAAGCTACAAATACATTCTATAGGCTCATTCAGAATCCTCCTTAAAAAAAAAATTAAGTAAATAAAAGGGCAAAAAGAAAATGTATCAAAATTCATACATCTAAAACAAAAAAAGAACTTGCAGACTTCTAAGTTCAGAAGCTTCAACAATTACGTTTTTTAAAAAAATACAAAGCACTGTAAATCTGTTTTAAGCCACATTTTGAGTTAAACCTGAAACACAAAACAAGGTACTAAAACAAAAAAAGTAACATAAAAAAAGGTATAACCTGCAACACACTACAGTAGCAAGCTATAGCAACATCAACCTTTAAAGTGAAATCTGAAATAGCAAAACAATGAAAACATAGCATATAAAGATTAATTCACGTATGATGAGAAAAACCAGTGAAATGTCTTCTAAACATTTTATATTTTTGTTCTTTTCAGTATATTAACAAGATGTCTGTGCAAACTGTCAATCTGGCACAATCCTCAAAGAGAGAAAATGTTGTTTTCTACGAAGACAAAACTGGCTGATTGACTCAAAATTTTACCTACCTTGTCTAAGGTCTTTTCCCCCCCCTTTCCTCCTGAGGCCAATATAAACCTTACAATTTTAAGAACCTTATTATAAAAGTAATGTTCCAATAAAAGAACATTTGAAAAATATTGAAAATCACCTTCAACTAACCTGTGTGTAAAACAATTAAAATACTTATGACTATAACTTACCTCCATCTTCCAAAGGTCTTTTTTGTCCCCCATAACCATAGTCATTTGAATTCAGTGATGTACCAGCATCACCTCCAATTTTTGCTGCAATCTTAAAAAACAAAAGCACACCATCATTAAGGATAACATATCTACACTATTCAGTGCTATATTCCCTCATACATACATATGCTAAGTATCAAATACAAAAAAATTAATTTCAAAGAAAAACAAAAATTACAGATCAATGTATTACTACCAATAATAACTTCAAAGTTAAAAACATAACCATCATCTGGAATTAAGCTTCTGATAAATCTCTGTAAGAACAAAGAAGTAATCAGGAATCTTCAGAATTGACTGACCAACAAATAAATAGCTTTGGGGAAAATGTGGTCCTAATTCTATCTTCTCCATGGCTCTTTCCCATGACTCTTCAAAAAATGTGTTGTAGGCACAGAGAATGTGAACACCTTATGGGATTCTAAGACTGTGTTGTCTAATAAGATAGATGCTAGCCACACATGGTTGGCTAGCCCGAATTAAGTGTTAAATACACAAATGGATACAGAAAACTTGAATCAAACATAAGGAGTGGAAAGCATCTCAGTTTTAGCTCGAATTAAGTGTTAAATACACAAATGGATACTGAAAACTTGAATCAAAGAGTGGAAAGCATCTCAGTTTTTTTTTTATATTGCACACATGTCAAAATGGTAACGTTTTGGGTATGCTGCATTAAATAAAATATATGACTTGCATCATATTTCTATCAGACAATCCTGTTCTACGGAAACATGGGGGTGGGGGAAGCCTGGGAGGCTGTACCTCTAAGAAAAGTCTCAGCTACAGATTCTTAAAGACTTTTTTAGAGTGGGGCAAATAATTGCTTGCACTTAACTAAACATCATATAAAAAAATAGCAGCCTCAAGTCACAAGGCAGGACACAACCAGTGGGTTTTTACTCCATCTTTATATGGAAAGAGATATGGAACTAATATTGCTGAGTGCCAGCAATAGGCCAAACTCCATACTATATGTTTTATACTCATTTTGTCACTCAATCATCAAACAATCCTAAGAGGTGAGAATACTTAGTGAGATAGTGATCCATTTTACAGCAGAAAAAATCTCAAGAGGGAACTTAACCAGGTTACATGGTAAGTCAATGGTGGAGATGTCCCAATTTCTACATAGCTCCATGCTAATTACTCTAAGGGGGTAATCACCAAAGGTGAGTGATACGCTCACTGGAGGTTCATTAGATTATTCTGTTAATTTTGAGTATGTTTGAAATTTTCCATGTTAAAAAATTACACAGAAAATTCGAACTTCTGTTGCCTAGAATTCCCCCAAAGGGATCCTGATGTGGAACTAAACCAACTGCTTCATGCTTCATTATAATTAGAAAACTGGAAAGGATAAGTATATTCAACGACTTGAGTCTTAAAATCCATACATATCACTTAAAATTAAATATATGTATCAGTTCCCAACTGTACCTCCTGGGGTTTCCAGATTTCCCTTTTCCTCACAAAGCATATCAGGATTAAATATTAAAATGCTTGATTTAAAAAAGGCTTTGGGGGGCACCTGGCTGTCTCAGTCGGAAGAGCATGCAACTCTTGACCTCGGTCCACATCGGGTGTAGAGATTACTTAAAAAAAAAAAAAAAAAAAGGCTCAATCTAACCTTCCTTAATCATCCTTTCACTTTCTCAAAAGCCTGTTCCATGTCTTTGAGCAGCTAATTAAAATCTTATTTCTTTTCTGAAAGGTTTCATCATACCTGAAAACAACTGCTTTTCCACCCCTTAAGTTTTAAAGGCTTAACATCTGAACTGTTCCTCAGAACTTAAATACACTGCCCGGCACTGATTTTAGAGAAGAAAGCATTTCAGGCCAAACAGGATAGTAACTACTGATGATCTTAACCTGTGAATACCTTCTGCAGTTAGCTTTTATAAATGCATGAGTTTGCACAACACCACTCCCTGAACTCCAAGGAAACTCTGCCTATACAAAGGATACTTATTTATACCTCCCTATTATCCATTATTCATTGAATAGTTCTAAAACTATCCAAATGAAAATGAAAGCTTGATAATTCGTTCATTCAAAAGAAATCAGTAACACCATTTTAAAATTTCAGAAAGAGTACAAAGACATTAGAGAAGAGCTCTTAGTAAAAATACTAACAACCATTTTTTTTAACACTGTGCCCTCCTACAACAGAGGAATTTTTTATCATAATCAAGCTTTGCTATCCTGTCACAAAATGTAGAAACAAACAAACAAAAGCAAAAACAAAAACAAAAAAACACCCAAAAACCCTGCTCAAGTGTTCGTTTTCAGCAGAAATTATTGGTAACTGAAAAGTCAACAATTCTATTTTATAAAATTTTCATTGCATTCAAACATAATGCAGCCTGAATCACTTTTATAATCCAGGAAGAGATTTCAAGAATAACTGAGTACTTAAAGACTAATAGCTGTTTAGAAGCTAAAGAATCAGGGCTGATACTCTTGCTTCATTTGTGTTCTACCAATCATGGAGTCGCAGCCTGATTCACTTCTATCTTCATAACGTCAAGGAGAAAAAAAGAGAGATACATTTTGCTTTTCCAGTATTTCAGAGACAAAACTGGTTTAGTGTGATCACCAAAGTCCTAACCAAAGAATGCCAACCCCACCCTTTGGAGTTACAGCTTGAAATACACAAATATAAATCTCTCAAGTGGTTCCTAAACTAGAGAAGCAATCTGGTGCCCCTGTGCTGAATTTAGCTCAGAGGGTATTTAAAAAATCTGGAAATTTCACATTAAAAAATAAGCCACTGGAATTCTCTGGAAAAATAAGCAACTTGGTCTAAATTATCAGATGGCAGAAAGAGCTAGGTAGTAATCATTTGTCCTGCATTAACAAAGAACCGTCCAGTTAAAAAAGCCAATAGCATCCCCGTTAGTACACAGCTCTCTGAGGGCAAGAGGCTGTTCTTATACTTCCTCCTTCCAAGAACACAGCATAATACGCTGGACAAAGAAACTTAAGGTTAAATGGGGATTTTGGAAATATAATCCAGCATGCTTTTACTATAGATAAGGAAAAAGTAGTTCAGACATTAACCTAACTTGTTTCTTCAGTCCAAGTACTCCTCCCTGTATTCCATTTATATATATCAGACAAGCAGCTACAACTGACATATGGAGGCATCTTCAAATGTAATCAGAAAGGGAAATTCAACTCAAAAGCTAAATTTAGGAATCTCAGGCTTAAGATCAATTCTGTAAAGAAACAACCAAATTATTACAGCAAGACATCTATAAAAATCATATCATTACAACAAGAGCATTGAGGCAGCTGACCTATTGGCATAAAAAGTGAGTACAAGAAATCCAGTTTGAGGACAATTTCTGTATTTAAAAATTAAGCCATCTAACATAATCAGGAAATTACAGCTTAGCCAAATAATGAAGTCCAATTTTTAATTAAAGCATGGCAACATGAAGTCTTTCAGAAGTTGTATCCATCTGTACTCACCTCAATTTCCACCCTCTTTCCCCCAACCACCATTATCCTCCAGTGACTTCATTCCTGGGTTCCTGTCATTCCAAAAACCCTCATACCTTTGCACATGCTGCTTCTTTTCTCCACTGATCAAACTTTCACTCATTCTTTAATGCCTTGCTTAAAATATCAGTCCTTTGGCAGTTAGGCACCCCACTCTTTGGTGTTGTGTACAGTGCCTGACTCACAGCAGGAACTCTATAAATGTTTACAGAACAAGTGGATAAATTAACGGTGCCCATTTTTGTCTACTCCTCTCTGAAAATATTAATCAGATACTACTATTCATTTGCATTTGGTTCCTTGATTGTATCATCACTTCCTAGAAGGCAGAAATACAATTCACACAGTAAAAAAAAAAAATCTCTAATATCTAAGTACAATGTGCAGCACAAATTAATTTCAATACACTGGTCGAATAAAATAATTCAGGTGAGTCTTTCAACCAATCTAATAATAACCCACTAACAGTTTATGTCATTATATATGTTTCAGTCGCTATTCCAAAAATGTTCAGAAGTAAGAAAATTCAGGTGAAAAAGTTGCACAATTAGTATTAATGGTGACTTTTTTGTTGACTTCCTGATCATACACAAGTATAGGTAAATTTAATTATAATGTGTTCACATTATAAAAATAAGAGCGATTTGTTACATTATTATAGAGTTTACGCAGTTTGACTCAAATGATGCTTTAATGGAACTGGAGGGTTAAAAAGGTTAACAACGTTAACTCCTAACGCAAACAAAACATACCACAAAATTAGTTTCTGATTCCCATTCGCTTAACGCTGTAATCTAAAAATGTCTAGCACCTAATATGAAAAATGTCATAACGAGAATAAAATTATTTTGCTTACATACAACTCCATATCAACACCATACCTTTTAAGTTACAGTTATGTTAAGGGACTATCTAATAAAGTTCAAATTAAGAAGGCTTTAAATTTCCTGGAGTAATTTTTTTTTTTTTTTAAATAGCTTTCGTTTGGGAAAGAACTGCCTTCAGGGCAAATCTACGCACCTACGTAATACAAAGAGGTCTGGTCAGTTTACGACTCTGAACAGAGAGGCAGATTCAAACTGAAACTTCGGGTATAATGGGCCTGAAGCCATTTTGAGAAATAAGGGGAAAGGACTGGTAGAACACACTGACACGTAAATCCTGCTCTGAGGAAGGATTCCAACACGGGATACTAGTGCTCTCTTAAGTCTCTTCCTTGTAGATATGAAAGAGAATGATACCGAAAGATTAATTTCGACAGAGCTCGAATGAGCTGGAAGCTGTAAAGACTGCTCTACTGACATATCCCTCCCTTACTATGGCTCCTGAGGACAGACCCTAGTCCTCTCCCAAACTCATTACCAGAACCTTCCACACTATTGTGTAAAAACTAAGCGCGCTTTATCCCATGGAGGAGAATGTTCACTCTGAAAAAAAGAAAATGCCAAGCTAACTCCTCAAAGAAGCGCGACTGCCGCAGAAGCTACAGACCTAAAGCCATCTATGCGTAACACGCGTTGGGGTTCTAAGTGGCTTAGACACCAAGATAAACAAAACCGAGCTCCAGCCTCCAAACTGTATTACCAACGTGGGGAACCATAAATCTCACATTTCAGAGCCCGGAAGGGCACTTCTTTCCTCTTCCTCATGCGCGAAAAAGTAGCGGCCTACACAGCCAGCGGCCAATTACCATGAGCGTTCGGATCCCGCCGCGCGGTCCAGACTTACCTGCCGTGCTCTCTGCAGCGCATCTTTGAAAGCATCGTTAACTCCTCCACCACCACCGCCGCCGCCTCCACCACCAGCTGAGCCAGAAGAAGGTGGAGGCACCGTTGAGTAGTCTGCCATGTCTACGCTATAGTGGCCGCTGCCGCTTCTTCGCAGAGACCTTCCCTCAGCCAACTGCTAAGAAAGAAAGAAAATGGCGGCCGTCGAGCCTGTATCACATTCTTGTGCGACCATCGTGCCGTAAAGGGGCGGAGATTGAAAGGAGAAAATCTCGCGATGTTTTGAAGCAACGAACTGGTGTGGGGATGGGGCTGAAAAACAAGGAGAAGCAGAAGGATGTTGCGAGACTTGTGTTTAAGATATCGCGAGAGTGGGATTTATTTTGGCGCCTCCTCTACGCTCATTCTCTTGTTGAAGCTCTGTTGCTTGTACTTCCGGGGTGGTGGGTGAGACTAGCGCGGTGACCCCGGTTGGCTTGCGTTTTTTAAGACCTGAAGAAAGAGTAGTTGTTTTTTATTGGTTGCAGACTCGGGGAGGGACTGTGGGTGAATTTTGCGCCAAGGGTCATTCTGTGTATCCATAGGAAAGGGAGTCACGTCGACAGGCGTAAGGGCGACGCTACAGTATCTCGAGAGCGCCGCAACCAGGAGTGTCCCCGGTAGAAGTGCGCCCGGGACGCCAAGCGGAGATGTTTCCGAAAACGTCCGCCCGGTCTGGCGGGATCTCGTCCTGATTTTCAGGGTAGTAAAGTGTCCCTGTATTTTACTTATAGATTGGCAGATTTGTTTTATCACAAGTGGGGATGAATTCAGGTTAGAGGCCTCTTAGTTCTCGAGCTGATTTCGATATTTTTGTGTAATGTCGATGAGGCTGTGAAATCACGACTGCCCTTTGCCTCTTAAAAACGTGATTGTTCGTAAAATTCCGTTGTAACTACACTTAATAACCTAATACTGTATTTGTCCAGGGCCAGTTTTATTGAGGTCATCTTATAATTAACAACAACATCCATCTCTTGACCAAAATTGACTGTGGCTTCCTAAAAGTAGTTTACCCCAGCCCCTGCCTATGAGAACCCAAATGTAATGTTCTGAATTGTCATCCCGGGACTGGATAACTTTTTAAGTGTGTGTATTTTCTGTTATCTAAGTGAACTTTACCAGTTTGGGCATTTTATGTTTTGTGAATTAGGGCTAAAAAAGTACTTTTCCCATTGCTAGTTTTAAGAGTAATTGGAAGAAATGTGTGTTGCGGTCTTCCTGGTAATTAATGTGTCCGCTTGTTCAGGGCCCTAAGTAAGTCAGATAACTAGACAGATGCATGCATATAGCTACAAGTGGGCGGTCATTTTCCTCCAGCGAAGCTTTTCCTACCGTCTTAACCATTAATAGTTCTGATTATCTTCTTCTTGTTCATACCTATCCCTTTAGATTTGGAGGGGTGAGGATTTGTATTTGGAAAAGCAGCAAATGTATTGGACTACAGATTTAAGTATAACTGGAAAAAAAAGACTAAAAGCATTGTTGGGGGTATTGCTAAACAAAATTTTTTCAGTTATGTTTTGAGAAAGTTTGTCTAACAAATGACATTTATTAATCAATTGATTTTTTCGTATTTTATTAATGGGACATATACCAGTCCTTCTGATCAACGTAATGTTAACCACAGAGTGATATAATATACTTCCAAACAAACTTTGTTTCTATTTTCGTTGTGTCTAAATATTCAAAGTAAGGCCCTTCATCTGTAGTTTATTTGTAGACTGTCCTGGAACCAGGACATTGAGAACCACTGGTCAGCCTTCATTCCTGCCCCTTCCTCTCCATTGGGAAGACCTCTCTACCATACTTTCGTGGTATATTCCAAATTCTATTAATTTTCATTTCTACTACTCCCAAGTTACCATCACCTCAGTCCTGGACTGTAATAGTATTCTACTTGGTTTTTCTGCTTCCACCTTTAAATCTCTACAATTTGCTTTTTTAAAATTATGAAATTATAAAAATATGTAATATACATGTAAGTTCTCAAAAGTAACAAGGATCCATTACCAGTACTTTTGAAGTTCAAGCCTCTACCTGATTATATTACAGTTGTTTCTTCATATAGCAGCTTGAATGATTCCTTTAAAACAAATCAGATCATCTAATCTTTGTCTTCCTAGTATACTTTAAGATTTATTTCAGAGAGCATGCATGGTGGGGGTGGGCAGAAGGGTAGAAGGAGAGGAAGAAGGAGAGAAGAAGACTCCCCACTGAGTGGGGAACACGACACTGGGCTCCATCTCACAACCCTGAGATCATGACCTGAGCTGAAACAAAGTTGGACACTTAACTGACTGAGCCACCCAGGCGCCCCAAGTATTGCACTTTAAATCCTCTCTCCTGGAGTGGTGTAAGGGCTCCATATGATCAGGCTACTGTCTCTAAATACTCCTCCCTTTCATTCTTCTTCACTCACCTTGCTGTCCAAGATACTTGCTGCCTTTGGGGTTTTATATTTGTTTTTTCTTCTGCCTGGCCTGGATGCTTTTATAGACTTTCACATGGATGATATGTCCTCATCATTTGAGGCTCAGTTCAGATGTCACCTCCTTAGGCCATCTCTGACCTCTAGTTGTGCCATTCTGCAATCACTATCCCATTATCATTTTATAGCATTTATCTGAAGTTATGTTCTATGTGTTTACTTGTTTATTGTTTCTTTTCCTTTAGAATTTAAACTGGAGAATAAGGACTGTCTATCTACCATTGACCAGTCCCTAATGCCTAGTCAGCGTTTTAGATATTTGTTCAAAGAATGCATATTGAAAAAAATCTGCCTCTACATTTTAGTTGGTTTTGTGACCTTGGGCAAGTAACTTAGTCTCTGTGTCTCAGATTTCTCATCTACATTGATGATCATAACTTCCTTTACTGTCCTCAAATGAGATATTTGTGAGCTCTTCAGAAACCAGAAAGTGCTGTGCAAATGGAAACTAGTAATAAACATGTAATTCAGCTTCTGGCATTTTATAATTAAGAAAGGATAATCCATGTACATTTTTTGAATTGCAGTTATGTTCAAATCTTAGTTTTGGTAAACCCCAGGATCCTGCTAGAGCAACTGAATTGTGGGAAAACTAATCAGTGACTTTTGATTAGGCTATGTGAGTTCTCAGTCCACTCATTCTTCTCAAAGCCATTTGTACTTTTCTGTTACTGTTATAATTGATGAGATCAGGCTTTTTTTTTTAAGATTTTTATTTTTTTATTTGACAGAGAGAGCACAAGCAGGGGGAGCGGCAGGCAGAGGGAGAAACAGGCTTCCGCTGAGCAGAGAGGCCGACTCGGGACTCTATTCCAGGAGCCTAGGATCATGACCCGAGCCAAAGGCAGACGCTCAAAGGACTGAGCCACCCAGGCACCCAACATCAGGCTTTTCTTGACTAAATTTATTCCCTTTGGCAATGTAAATTTCTTAAAAGTGGGTGTATCATAGCTAATAATCTAAAATTGGCTTATTATGCTTTGAGAGTTGGCTAAATATTTGCCTGGATTATATTTTATAGTCAGACTCTTACCACAGAAATTGGTATTTCATATTTTATCCTTAGGATGAAGCAAAAGTTGGTGTTTTTGAACTTCCAGAAGTATAGTAGGGAGCATTTAGATTTACCAAATAACAGAGTGAAAAGATTAGCAAATGTAATAAAAGTTGGACTGTTAAATGCACTGGCAAGTTTCTTCTTTTACCTTCTGACTTACTGGTTACCAAATGACTGTGATTTTTTTCTTAGCACAATTTTCACTTTGGATTTATTAAATCTGTGAAATAGTAACAGATTCTTATTTTTAGCTATTGGAGAAAAATAGTCCATTATGGATTTTACCCACCTCCCCCTAATCCATTATGGCTTTTTTAACAGGCTTTTTTTTTTTTTTTAAAGATTATTTATTTATTTATTTGACAGTGAGAGACACAGCGAGAGAGGGAACACAAGCAGTGGGAGAGGGAGAAGCAGGCTCCCTGCAAAGCAGGGAGCCCGATGCCGGGCTCCATCCCAGGACCCTGGGATCATGACCTGAGCCGAAGGCAGACACTTAACAACTGAGCCACCCAGGTGCCTCCCCACCCCTTTTTTTTTAAGATTTATTTTAGAGAGGGAGAGAGAGTCCCAAGCAGACTCTGCGCTGAGCTCAGAGCCTGACAAGGGGCTCCATCTCATGACCCAGAGATCATGACCTGAGCTGAAACCAAGCGTAGGATGCAAAACTGACTGTGCCACCCAGGCTTCCCTTAACAGGCATTTTAGAGTGACAAAATTGGACAGGCTGCCTGCCTCAACTTTCTACCGATCACCTATCTCCTAATAACTCTTGGCCAGAAGGATCTGATAACTTCATGCTATATACTGTGTGTCATTTAAACCAGGCCAATATTTCCTCAGTACACAGTCACAACAGATTCAGGTTAGATGTGAGAAGAAAAGTTGCCACTTCAAATTAAATAGTCCAGGATGTCATTAGGGTGTTTGATCATTAGGTTGGTTATTGGTTTAATGACTTTTATATCCCTTTTGACTGAGTTTTTAGAATTCTATTTCAGACTAAGGTGTGAATGGAAGCAGTATATATTAGCATTTTATTTTTTTTTAAAGATTTTATTTTTGTGAGAAAAATAAATTTATTTATTTTAAGAGAGAGAGCATGTGAGTGCATGAGTTGGGGGGGAGGTGCAGAGGGAGAAGCCAACTCCCCACCGAGCAGGGAGCCTGATGTGCAACTCGATCCCAGGACTCTGGGATCATGACCTGAGCCAAAGGCAGACAACTGAGCCACCCAGGCACCCATATATTTTAGAGAACAAAGTTGTTAACACAAATTAACTGGAGAAAAACAGTTTGACCAGTGTCTGAAACTGGAGGCAGCCCCAGATAGTGGAAAGGACTCTAGACTAGGCCCAAGAGGATCTGTGTTCAAGTACGACCCATGTGCCCTTTGGTAAGTCACGCAACTTCCTTTTACCGGCATACCAAAAAGAGAGGGCAATTTAATCTGTTTCTGAAAAGTAGCCAACAGTAAAGGATAATAAAAAGTCTTATGTTTTTACACTGTGACTTCTGTCTGTTACCCTTTCAGAAATTAAAATACTATCCTCTCACCCTCAGTTATTAGAAATTTCTTATCTAATTTGGTTGCCAAATTTGATAGTGTGTCCTGATTTAAGGGCTGTAAGAAGACTGAAGAACACTAGGATATTGCTTATGATCATTGATTTGCCCTAAATCCAGACTTTTATTATCCTCATCATTCTCACTTATCCATAACTGCAGAGCTCCCTTTTTGTCAGGTACACTTCCCACCTCTTCCATTTTACTGTTGCCTGGTAATTTCCATTTTTCCAGAAAGCCTGTAGAGAACTCTAAAATTTAGGGATTCTTTGTTGTCATGTACTACATCATGGCAATAATAGCATAGTATCACTTATTTATTTGGAATTCCCACTAAATTGTAAGGTCGGTGACAATAAAGGCCATGTCTTTTTCTGTGTCTTTACTGCATAGCACACTCAGCAATAGCTTATAGTGGCTAGTGCTATATACTGGGCCTTATTCTAAGTGCTTTATCTGTATTTAATTCATTTATTCTTACAATACCTCTATGAGGTGCTTATTAAAATCTCCATTTTGCTGGGGTACAGGTAAGTTAACTAACTTGCCCAAGGTCACATGTTAGTGTTAGTGATCTGAACCCAGGCAACCTGTGTTGAAAGAATGGAAGAATCTATAAAAAGTCAAGTAATGAAATGGATCTCTGTAATTTCTGTGGTGTGGTTCACAACTTAGTATTTCTTACTTAGATTTTTAAAATACTTGCATTTGTTTTTATCAAGATATATGCCAAAGTTCTTCATGAGAAGGCAGGTCTTGATGTAATAAAAATATTACATACAAAATTAAAGAACCCATATGTTGTATAATAGGATAGAAGCTTGTTTTTCTGTGTTAATTGCATTGGTTGGATTAGTAATATGCTTTACTAAAATATACATAGTGCTCTATGCTGTGTGAATGTGTGAGAGCGTATGTGTATACATACATATTTGGTATGATTAGTGTTATTTTTCAAATACATTATTTAGGGGGTTTATGTGTTTGTAAT